AATCATCATCAACATTAATTAACTGATTTACTAATTCTTTGCTAATCTTTGAGAGACAAACAATCAGTCAACAATTACAAACATTGAAGCTAAACAAAATTAACTAAGGTAACAATCAATTTTGTTGTTATTTTTTTTTAGATCATTCGAACTGATAATTAGTCAATTATTTAGACTTCGTTACTAATCAACAATCAATTAATTTCTCCTGACAGAATAAGGTCAGAACTTTTTTTCTACTTGTTGATTAACTTTATCAACTGTCCCTCTCTTCACCTTAACACTTATAATTATGTACTCTCTCAATTGTATCAATTCCAAATCCAAACAATTAGATGATGAAAGTTGCTCCAGAACTTCATCTGAGTAAATCACAATCAATTAATTATCGAATCTCTTTTTTTTGATACACTATTTCTCTTGATTTTCTCTCTCTATTGTTATTGGTGATTTACTGATACTCATTTAATTATCTTCTTAATTACATAGCTTGAGTTTTAAACTTCAAGTTGTTAAATTGTTTATTATCGCCATTAATTTAACTTGATTTAAAGTATTTAATGGAAAAGATTGTTGAGTTTTTTTTGTCCAATCAACTAATTGATGCAATTGAACAATCAACAATTAAATGATTAACTATCTCACAACTTTTAAGGAGTGACAAGGAAAAAGTAATTTATATTTGTAATTGGTAGTTGGTCAATTAAATCAATCAACAATTAATGGATAAACACATACCTTAACATGGTTGAAGATGTAGATGTTGTTAGATTAGGTTGAACTTGTTTTGAATCTTTTGGATTCCAATTATCTGGACTAATCTCTTGTAAACTGTAACGCTGCTGTAATTGAGCTTGGGACTGTGAGTGTTGTTGAGTAACTTGTTGTTGTTGTTGTGGAGGATTAACAGGATGATCAAGACCATTTCCTTGTGACGGTTGTGGTGGTGATTGTTGTTGTTGTTGTTGTTGGTTAGGTTGATTTGTTTGATGCAATTGTTGGGTTGATCCTTGATGTTTATTGCGGATATTATTATTATCCAATGAAGAGATTGTTGAATTTGATCCATTCTGAGGTGTTGAACTTAAGGGTTTACAATTATCCTGAACTAAAGTACAAGATCCATCGTCTTTCTCCTGTAGGTTACACTTTCTTCCTGGAAAGTTCAACGTCTTCATCATAAATCTATGAACAGAAAAGATACAAAGTGAAAGTAAAGATTAGATTAGATTGTGATGAAGAAGCAGAAAAAGAGACATAAAATCAAAGAGCGAAAATGAAACCTTAACAATAATAAAGATTAACAATTCTCATGCATAATCTTTACCAGCAAAAGAAAAAATTAACTTGAGGACAAGAAACGAAATGATTGAAATTGATCAAAGAAACTCATGAAAATAACGGTAAATTTTGCAAAAGCAAGAAAGCAATCAATTAGTCTGCTGAAAGTAAACAAAAGGTAGTGGAGATTAATTTCCCTGGTTATTTCTGCGTGACAATCAATGCACCAGAAAACAATTAACATGTGAATCAAGTTTATTATTAAAAAAAAAGTCTCTCAGCTAAGGATTAGCTTTATCCTAATTCATTTGCTATAAATAAAACTTGATTATCTTTATCCGGTTAACAATAAAAATGATAATAATTTAATTGTCCTTTTCACCAACCTCATAATCTTCATCATCTGGCAACTGTTGTTGTTGTTGTTGTTGTTGTTTTTGTTGGATGGTCAATTTTTGATGTGAATGTCCATTAATTGGAGGGTAACTTGGCTCTATTGAGAGAAAAGGGAAATAAATTGAAAAGAAACAACAATTAGTTAATTTGGTTGGAAAATAAGAAAAATTGAGACCAATTATATTTAATAATTAAGGTGTTTTATAAATCAAGAGAAAATGTTGATGATTTTTAGGAATTGAATTTGTGATGATTGTAAACAGGATGATGGTGAAGAAAGATGATAATTGTTATGTTCAATTGGATGATTAAAATTTGACACGAAAAGTTAGTTAACTAGTTGGGTAACATTAATAGAAAAAACTAAGATTGGGATGATTAGAACCGAAAATAGTTAAAAGTTGATTATAATAACAGTAATCAAAGAGCATCATTTACTGATTGTTGATTAACTTTGATTGACTTTTCAGATTCAGAGTCTAATAGCTTAGGAGGATAAGATATTTTAATTGTCGATTAATTATCGTCAATAAGATAAATTAACACAATATCATCAATCGTGAAGATGTTAAGATGTTAAGATTCCATCACCACCCAGAATAAGAAAAGATTAACAATTAAGTGATCAAATTTAGATTTAGGTAACTCACGTTCGGAAGATGGATCATAAATATCTTCACCCAATGTTTGAGCTTTGGCAAGTTCTGAGAAACAAAAGAAGATGAGAGAAAATAGATGATAAAACAATTAGTAAATTGTATTCGATTAACATATTTAATTTAATAGAATTGGTGTTAAGATGAAACAATACAAAATTCATTGGGTTAATTGTGGAGGATGAATTATCTCAGCCCTCAGTCTTTTACTTTTGCATAAATATTAATAGTACAATTGATTGTTGTTCAATTGGAAAATAAATGATTAATCAGAATGATCAGAGTAACTGAAATAAATTGTTGGGCTATTGTTCATCATCTGATTATCATTGTTAACTCATCATTATCTAACCTTTTAGTAGAGGTAATGATTTGTAATGAGAGCGAGTGGTCAATTGAATGGATTAAATATAAGATGATGGATTAAGAAAGTTAAGGTGGGCTCTTAATTCAGTTCAAGAGTGAAGGGTCTCAAGCACCCCGGGTGAAAGGATAAACTTTATAATGATGATAATTTCAATTCTCATGGTGAATGGAAAATTCAATTCAATTAGAAACTAGAATTAATCGTAAACAATTACGTACTTAACCAGTGAAGCGAAAGGTGAAACGAGAGACAAGGTCGACGTGCCAATAAGTGGCCTTTAAATGTCCTAAATTTCAGCATCATCGCTCTATCATTATCAACATTTCATTGTTACCTTTTTATAATATCGAAAAAAACTCTTCGAATAACTTTGATTAAGATGATCTAATTACTATTAAAAGATGAAAAATTTCAATTGATGATGAGTAACTAATTGTCCATTGCGTGAATGGAAGGGGAAATTGAAAGCATTGATTGCATTGATGATTAGTCGACAATTTAATTTGATTAAAAGTTGCTAGTTGATTATGAGTTGAGAAGATAATTGGATAGAAATTGTTGGAGTTAATTTGAATTGATTTTACTGACAATTGATTGATTAAAAATTGAAGAATAATTGGAAAAGTTAATTGTGATCAAACTTACCTTCGGTTGTAACATTAGCATTATCTAATATCTCTAATTGAGGAAGAGCTTTCAATATGGTGTAACGGTAATTGGCTTGTTGATTACATGGATTATCCTCGAGTTAATTTCTTCAAATTAGAAAGATCTTGAAGATAATAGATCTCATTTATGTCGGAGATTTTGTTCTTCCGTAAGTATAATTCTTGAAGGTTTTTACATTGACTAAAATCCTGTAGACTGGCGATGTTATTTATCGATAAAGATAAAACTTCAACGTTTGGCATTTGTTGGACAATCGAGACGTCAGATAATTCGCTTCCCCAGCAATTAAGTTTTTTCACATGTCGCAAATCGTGAGATCGGGTTCGACTAAGAACGATATTCTCTGTCAACACGGAGGACATTATGTTAGAAAACTGGTGAAGATTATATTGGGAACAAAGAGATGGAATTAGAGATGAAAAAGATGAGATTAATGTTCACTGGAATATTTTTGTGCGCAGTCAAGTAGATGGATTAAAATTAGAATAGGAACCAAATTATTTCTTCCAATGAGTAAAAGTGGATCGATTATTGGAAAGGACAAAACACTTGGATCTAAATGGTAAATGAAGACACACACACAATTTGTCGATGTTAGAATTGCGATAAACAAATCAATTGAATTGCCAGGAGAATAAGACACAAACAAAAATAGAAAATAGACTCACTGGATAAATAGAATAGAAAATCGGGAAAAATGTTGATGAGATTGAGAACAAAAAAAACAGTCTCACATAATTGATTAATTCGGTTTCTTATTAGTTATTGATTTGTTACTTTTAAACTCTCATTTAGAAAAAGTGTTTGACGAAAATTGAACAAATTATCAACATGGAATTTACTTTAAACTCTTAATTGAGAATGTAGAGTAAATAACAATTTATATGTTATTTATGGCACAAAGAAAATGTAACAATAAAGTAAATGAAGATGAATTTTTGTTTCATATAACGGTCATGTTTTCTCAACAATTACAACATGAATGTGAAGAAGATAATCAACATGATGAGGGAGAAAAAGGTGAAAATGTTGATATTACATGAGATGAGAAAAGATTAAGACCCAAACATCAAGTAATGTTGATTTACCTGTTCATCAACAATCAACAAACCAATTTGACAACACGAACAACCAAATGAGAGAAAATAAACAAGAAGTGAAGTTCTTTTCCACCAGATGGCAGCTCCTTCGTTTTGGGCGTTGTTGTTTACCTTTTTTTGCTCATTCGTTAAACTGAATTAGTAGTTAATTAGCTAATTGTCACTGTTTCGTCAATTCGTCAGCTAATTAACATTGAACCATTTTACCACGATTAGAATCATTTATTTGTTCCTCAACATCCTCGTGAGAAGCTTTCCTCAGAGTAAACTTGAAGCGAAGTCGTTTGATTAATAGATTGTTGTTTTTACCACTAATTGAATGGGTTAAATTTATCAACTAATCAGCAAAATTTAAATGAATTTCAAAGTTTAATGAGCTCTAATTACAGAATCTGTTGTTTTTTCTTCTTCTTCTCTGATACATTACATTTCCACTTGAGTATGAAATCTACTAAATTTCATCAGATTAGATTATGTCATCCGGCAAATATCCAAAAATATTATTGTAATGAACGAGAAAAAAACAAACCATTTAGTTAAAATGATTCTCGTATTATTATTGTTAATTGATGATCAAAAATACATTTTGACGATTAACCAAATATGATAATGTTGATATTAATTCTGATTCATACATTAAAATAGGTAGAAATTTGTTATAAATTATGGCTTAACTACTAACGCTCATTTTCATGTATTTAGTTTGAAGTACAATGTTAATTGTTACATGTTTAGATTAGAAAATATTAATGAGAATACAAGATTTTAAGGCATCTCTTTTTCTTCCCATTAACAATTAAAACAAACACTACGATTCTTAAATGATTCAACTAGTGAGACCATTTATAATCGCTGATTGTTAACAATTACACTTTCATCCCAAAGGTTCAGTTGCATTATTAATTTTAAATTGGTAAAAGTTGTTTTCTGCTGAGATTTGATTGGATTAAATAAATTGGTTCCATGGTTGTAATAGTTGTTGGTTTGATTTAGATCATTGATCATCTTTATCCTTGGCACCATGTTTAAGGATTTTGGTGAATTCAGTGTAGTTGAACATTCCACCCTCATCAATAGGAGCTTCACGATACATTTCATCGACCTGATCGGAAGAAAGGAAAAGGAAAGTTGACAAAAGTGATTAATTATATTGGAAAATGATAGAAAAGGTTGGAAAGAAAAAGACTCTCATTGTCCATGAAGATCTTCATGATAACTTACATCTTCATCGTTGAACCGATCACCGATTGTGGTCAACAACTCTCTGAGTTTTCCTCGTGAATTAATCCGGTGTTATCCTCATCAAAACAAGCAAAAGCGTTTTTAATCACATCCTCAGGATCAGTTCCTTGAAGTTTCTCCCAAAAGTGTTAAAACATGGTGAAATTAATTGGACCTGGAGCTTCACTCATCATACCTTCCAGGTAGTTTTCTTCGGATTCTTTCCAGAGAGGCCAACATTTCTTGTAGATCGTCTTTATCAATTAGACCATCTCGATTCTGATCAATCATGTTAAAAGCTTCTTTGAATTCCTGAATCTGGGCCTGGTCAAACATAGCGAATACATTACTAGTCGCTCTGTGGGCTCGTTTCTTGGCGAACCCTCGGCCTTTTCCTTTTCTGGTATTGGACATGCCAGAAGGTGAAGTTGATGAAGTGTTGGAAGCCGTTTTGGTTGATTGTAATTCGGGCACCTTAACAAATGGAAAAATATCAATAAGTGACACTGGAAGAAAACAAAGAAACAAAGAAACAACTGATCAAATATCAATCACACAATTGGAAACACAAAGATTAACTGAAAAAGAAGCAACAAAAATAAAAACAAAAAAATTTTCTCTCGAAAACGAAAAACGCGCCGCGAGATGGAGCCACCTTCCATTCGATTGCGAGTAAATCACCGGATGTTTAATTGTCATTCTAATTGGTTAACATGATAAGCTGAATTATAATTAACCAACAATTGTGAGAACAAAATGTTCACTGTTGAATCCTGTTAATTAGTAAATCAACACCTTACAAAGAAATTCAATACACTCTTATTACGAATACATTTGTGGAAACAATTGTTAATTGTGATGGTTTTTTATTTCCGATGAGTTAATCATTAATTATCACAAGGAATTGATTAAATAAAGGCGTGAGAAGATTCTTTATTTTTAACCATAAAAGTAAAATTGCTTTTACACTTTTTTAATTATTGATTGAATCATTGGCTTGAAGAGACAATCAAAATAAAGATGATGGTATTTCTTTTTATCCCTTGTTGTTTTCTCATCTTTTTTTTTAATATTCAAAAGTGAAAATCGCTGAACGTTGCTATCAAATCAACTATTCGTTATTTTTTTTTCTTTTTGGTATTTTTTCCTCTTTTTCTCTTCATTAGAATGTTTGCTATGAAACATCAGAATATTCTCTGAATTCTTGGTAACGTCTGTCTCGGATTCGGGCAACAAGACGAGGGAGGAAAATGGTTCCCAAGATGCCAATGATTAATGAGATTGGGATGATAACAAATACCACAACAAGACCAGGAACTATAATAATTGTAAAGTGAAAGTACAAATCATGGTTGAAAGTAATTAGTATTAGTATCATGTGTCATTTAAATCACTAATCTAATCTTACCTCCACTAGCTGGTTCTATTTTAGGTGGTGGAACTGGGATTGTACCATTGCAATGAAGTTCATCGGACCAATCGCCACAATCATTTACATTATTACAACGTTGAGATGGGTTAATACAACGACGACCATTTAAACATTTATCGGGACAAACTGGTGAGAGAAACAATTAAAAGATTAGAGGAAATGATGAAATGAATTGTGAGTGAGTAAAAAACTTACTTATTGTTGACCAATTTAAATAAGCTGAAGTATTGGATGATGTGTATTGGACAATAATTGTTTCAGAGGTCGAGTTGTAATAATCAGCTCCAGATATGTTAATCAAACGTTTATCATTCTTAATGGTGTCTGAGTCATAGATGATGACATTGTCAAGGCCATTGGAGAGGGTGAAGTTGAAAACCTTAAGGATAGTTGGATCTTTATCCACTGGTGTACGGATGATCCACATACATTTTTGGGATTTTTCTGTTGCGTTGAGAGCAAGTTGGAAAGTGGGTTTATCATCAATTTTACCTCCGCAGTCCAAAGCCTCGAGTTCCATGTTGAATCCACGTCCGCTTAATTTGTAAGTTATGTTTCTGACGGTGTTTTTTTGGGGGTTAAAAGAACGCAAGAAGTTAATCACAGTTTTATTTGATACAATAGCATCTCCAGGGATGTTTGATGAAGTGAGAACGACTGGAGCCTTCTTATCAGCAAATTCCAAACGATGATCTTCAGCAAGATCCAAATCATGGAAAGTTACATAGATAAAAGCTGTCTGTGAGCTAACACTTCGGCATTGGGTGTTACCATCGTCCTCTTTTAATGGATAGTTGTTTGGATAATTGTAAGATTTGAAAAACTGTTTACCAGTTACTTCAACAGGAGCACAAGCATCGTTAGTGACTTTTGACCAAGATGCTTGGAGTAAAGTTCTAGAGTAATTGGAGCAAATTTTACCCCTGGTATAATTGAGAATGTGAGTAGCATTAGTGCCCAGATAAAGTATAGGCAAGGTCGCGGTTCCTTCTCCAACGACAGTAAATACATTTCCATTAGGAGCATCTGATTTCAAGACAAATGAACCTCCATCTTCCAAAGCCAAATTAGAAATTACCAATGATTTTACAAAATTAGAAGTTAGATTAGCCACAGGAACAATGTTCCAAACATAACTTCCACTACAATTAGAGGAATCGCTAAAAATTGTAAAAGACCCAGATTCTAATGGATCATCCAGAGAAATTTCACGATCAACTAAAAAGGAAAAAAGAATTAAAAAAGAAGAACCAATGATAAATTCAATGCGTAATAAGAGTCAACCTGTTCATTTGAATATAATCAATGACATGGAAAATTTGAGACAAATAGAACTTACCTGCTAAGGAAGTAGAACTAAAAACACCAATAACCACCCAGAAAAAATAAAGTCGCATTTTAATTAGAATTAATTAATCACATAAACAATGAAAACAATAGAAGAAGAAGTGAAAATGTAAGAACCAAAGAGAACTGAAAGTGCACAAGTTTAAAAGATTCTCTTACTTTTACTCTTACTTTTTTTCTCTTTTTCTCTCTGTCTGATATTCTAATTACATCGCCATCTATGGGCACTTTTGGTTATGTAATCTTTAAATTCTTTGCAACAAAGAAACGACCATTTAAAATTCATTTAAAAGTTGATATCATCATGACGAACAACAATTAACAATCAATTAGAAGGCAACATTATCATGTCAACAATTTACTCAATAGAAATGAACATAAATAGTTTCTATTGGTTGAAGATTAAAGATTAGATTATGATCATTAATTCAACTTCATCAGAACAACAATTTATGTTATCAACTTTTTTTTTGAAACAAAATTTGAATTGAGTTTTTAATTTAATTGATTGTAAGCAATTGACTTGTAGTCTTTTACTTAATTAATTATGATTGCTTTTGCTTAGATAATTAATTTGAGATATGCTTTTTTTGTGGATGTGAATTGTTTTGTTTTGAATAGTTTTTAATTTAAACACTTGATTGTTTTTTATCAATTTTCATGGCAATTTGATTTGTATCGTAACTTTTGATAGTCTGATACAATTGTGTAAACGGTGGATCGGCAAAATCATATGGCTATGATTAAAATTATGATTAAATTAAAATTGAGTAACGATTAATTGGCCATGAGTAATTAATGAGTTAAAGGCTTCAGTTGCTTCTGTGGTAATACTTTGATATGTGAATGGCTTCAAGTGTGGCGATTGTGAGTAGATAAGATTTGTGGACGGAAGTGCAATTGTTTGTGTACATGATATTGCGACGATCCTAATTAACTTGATTGTTTGGATCGAATTCAGTTTTCTCTTAAATAAGATTGTCGATTATGCTTTGATTTTAAATTCAACAGCGGGCGAAGACATTTTACCATCTCCACCTAAACTGTAGGCGAGAACTCGAAGTTTGTATGTTTTATCTGGAACTAAACCAGAGACCATTACATTCAAATCTTCACTAATTTCTTCAAGATATTTATAAACTTCTTTAGCTGATTGAATCTTTTGGTCACTTTCCCAATAACGAACTTTATAACCAATGATCGGCTCTTCGTCTGATGCCGTGTCAACACCTCTCAAGTTACCTGGACATGGCCTGATTCGACAGCTTTAACTTTCACATTGGTTGGTGCTCGTTGTGGGGCCGCTTTGTAGGTTCGAGCCAAGAAAGGTTCACTCTCAGGTCCAGAACCTGCTTCGTTGTAGGCCATGACCGATACATAGTATTCGGTGTGTGGGGACAAGGCGACAATCAAACCCTCGTTTTGAGTACCACGATTGAGTAAAGTGAGAGCATTAGTTTGAGAGTCATCAGATTGTTTCCAATATTTGATTCGATGACCAATTAATTTACCACGAATCTTTCCTCGACTTAATTCAGTGGTGCCCATGTAACATTAAGAGCTGTTGAGTTGAATGGTAAAGCCTTAACCAAACTTGGTTGAACTTGAGGCATACTCTCAGCTGAATAAACTTCAACTGGTTCACTGATTGGTCCTTCTCCCATTCTGTTGATTGCTTGAACTTTAACTAAATACTTTTCATAATAATTGTTTTCGCCCACATCAATCACGTACATTCCAACTTGACTTTGATTCAATTCTTTTGTTTGATATTCATAATCGTTTGGCAGTTTCCAGAATATCTTGTACCAGACAGAAGGTGAATTCCAATTCTGAGGAGGTAAAGGATCCCAGGTTATCGTTAATGTACCGGCTTTACCTCCACCGCCACCAACATTGGCTGGTGACCGTAGTGGTCGATGTTCACCAGTTTTGTAAAGTGGACTAGCATCGGAAGGTAGACTAGATCCAAGATCATTGTAAGCAGATACTCTGAACTCAAAGATGCTCCATGGAGAGAGATTATTAACTCGAGCATTACTCCTGAAGTTTTCGCGATTCACTCCAGTAGACAAAATGTGATCAGCTAATACAATCCAAGAAGAATTGTGATTAGTTCGACCTCAATCTTATAAGAGTATTTGTCTTCCATTAGAAGCACCATCACTCCAATGGATGGAAGCAGAAGTGGCATTTATAACATCGGCTAAAACACCGCCTGGAGGGTTTGGTGGGCCATCAACAATCAATTCCGTTGAATGAGCAATAGTGTCGACCGCTGAGCGAATCAAACAAGTATAGTTACCAGACTCGGCGAAAGTAATTCCTCGAATCTTGAGATAACCCGGTTTATTGCCGACTGTGAATTTCCATGAGTTGTACTGATCGACTTTGATACCATTATGGAGCCAAATGAAAGAAATGTCCAGCTTGGAATCAGAATTGGCATCACAAGGCATTTGAATGGTGTCATTTACTATGGCAACGAGTTTGGGTCTTGGGTATTCAGCAAATGTTTGGCTATCGAAGACAGTTAGATATCCTTTGCTTTGATCTCGGCCATATTTGTTTCTGGCAACACAAATGTACCAACCTTCATCCTCTTTACGAACTTGATTGATTGTCAGTAATTCGGAGTTTGATCGCAATGGTGAATCATTTAGTAGCCATTGGAAGATGGAGCTGGTAGAGCTTCAGGTGAACAAGTGATTGAAAACTTGGAGCCAAGAGCAGCGTACATATCCTTGAGTGGGTGACGTCTAAATGTTGGCTTGATACCAGATACTTTCAATTGAGCAGAACTGAAGTTGTTACCGAGTTCATTGTAAGCACGACATTGATACATTCCATTGTCTCTGTCAGGGTTAGCAGCTTCGATGGTTAGAACATTATCTTCAATCTTAATTCTTTGCGAGTCTTCTTGAGGGATGGTGTTACCTCGAAGTTCAACTCCATTTTTGTACCAATTATATTTAACTTGGGGAATTCCAAATGCTTCACATTTCCAGATGAGGTTGGTTCCAACATCGATCACCTTATCTCTTAATCCTTTGGTAAATACAGGCAGTGATTGGACTCGGAGAAAAGCTGCTGATGTGATAACACTATTACCACCGCTTTTTGCAGTACAACGATATTCACCAGAATCTTCAACCTTAACTTTTGGTATAATTAATAATCTATTGTGACCAGTTAATGATGCATCTTTTGGTAATTGATCACCAACTCTACTCCAATTGTATGAGGGCACCGGATAACCATAAGCGACACATTCAAGTGATACTAGTTGACCTGCTAACGGAGCTTCAGGGAAAATCTTAGGAAAACCAACAGGAAATTGAAGCTGTTGACTATTTGGTGTTGGATCAACTCTAAGGTAAAATGATGGACCAGTTCTACCCGTTGACGAGATGACACTTTGGACATTACATGAGTAATTGGCACTGTCAGCTTCTTTAACAGAAGAAAAGTAAAGGTTACCATCATTAGAAACAAATATCCGTCTATCATCAGCTCCAATAATATTTGGGTAACCATTTTAGTCAATAAAACATTCCTCTTGGATGATGTTGAGGTGGATCACAGCTTAAAGATTTACCCCAATTGGTATTAGCAAAATCATTAGATCTTTTCAATTGGAACTGACCAATGTATCCAAAGCTAACTTGAACCGTTTCACTTATGATGCTACCAAATTGATTGGAAACACGGCAATGATACTTTCCTCTGTCAATTTCTTTCCTAGGATTGTAAATGATTAACGTTCCATCCATTTGTGTAAATCTTTGATCTGAAAGAGGGTCAACTAATTCAGAAATAATTTCTGTCTTATTATAACTCTCCTTAAACCATTGATAAACGGGTGTTGGATAACCATCAGCCGAACATCTTAAAGTAACATAATTAAGATGATCACGACCATTGAGATCAAAAATTTGTGATCGAGGTTCCTCAATGAACTTAGGACCTCTAGGAATTTTCAAGGATCAATTTCATCGATACCAAAATCAATTTGAACATCTTCATCTGCCAAAAGTAAAGAGAAAAAGAATAGAATTTAAAAAAAAAACAATCAAAACAAAACAGAAACAGAAACAAAAAAGAATCAAAATCTTCAACTTGTCATCACATTGAAACAAAAGAGAACAAAAAACCAAATCAACTTACCTGAGGCACTGGAATTGTTAAGGACACTAAATAGAATCAAGAGAATAGAAAAGATGATCATAATTAATTCTAATTAGTCACATGAAGAAAGAGAATTAAATAAATAATCTAAAGGTGAGAGACTATAATCTCTATAGTGAGAGTTGACTTTCTCTGGCAACCGATTATCGATGTTATCGATTTTTTTTTGTTCTTTCAATTTAAAAATATGAATTCTTTTAAAAGGATAAAAGAATCGCGATCAACAAGTCCAACCAATGGGAAGAATAAAAAAACCCGGGGTCTTGTTGGCGGGGAATGATGATCAGCCCAAGGGAAGAAGATGACAGAGGAAGGGAGAGACTCACGAATTGGCGCTTATTCACAATAGAAGAACATCTCTCTCTCTCTCTCTCTCTCTCTCAGTCTCTTCTTCTTTTAATTTCCATGTTTATGTTTTATTTGTTGTCCCAATTTCCTTTTTTAATTAACTCTACTTTTTGTCTTCCATCTTGATTGTCATCTATTCTTTACCTGTTCTGGTTAATTGTTTTCTTTTCTCTTCTCTTTAGCTTGTGTTTTATGTGCTTGTTGTCCATGTGAATTTGTTTTAATCTCTCATCTTAATTTAATTTTCACACTTTTGTTCACAATCTATTTTCCATCATGCCTGTTGATGTTTTGGTTAATCGGAACAATAATGATCATGGAAATGATAATATTGAACAAATCGACCCTCAAGGTGTTCTCAATAATTACCAAAGGCATGATGTGAGCTCTGGTGGAGACAGAAATGTTTTATCAACTTCCAATGTTAGACAATCATCGGTTTCTACAAATCTTGATGAAGAGATAATTAGACGACGTGGTAAACGAGAGAGAAAATCTCATATAATCACCAGAAGCATGAACCCGATTATATTGGCCACCCGAAAGTCACCGATAAAAAGGCCAAGAGATAATTCAGTAACTTTGGAGATGTTGAAGATTTTGTAAGTATTCATTTTCTCTGGATTTAATTGTTTCTCTTTGAGAGTTTCACTTGTTTTCCATTTCATTTTGCCGAATGTTTTTTTCTCAAATTAATTGTCTATCATGTTTCTCTATTTTTGCAGCGGTGATTTGTCAAAATCTCCAAGTAAACGAACACCAGTTAAAAGACTTCGCACCTCACCGCCCTCAAGTCCTGGAATGATGACCAGAAAGCGTCTAAACATGAGCTGCGATTCAGGAATCGGTTCACCATCAAGCTCACCTTCAACCACGAATGGAACCCGAAGTTCATCAAACAATAAAAAGACTCCAGTCAACGCTCCAAGTAGAGCCCGTCGATCAAGAGCTCGTCGTAATTTACGCAGATTGTCCTGAAATATTCATTAAGTTTCATTCATTTTTTCATCAAAATCCCCATTCACCACCACCACCACCACCACCACCATCATCATCATCATTACATTTTCATCGCCACCAAAAAATCAATTTCATTTTATATTTAATTACAATCAAAACAAAGCTTATTTTGAGCCATTGAAAAAAAACTTTAAAATCACAAAAAGACAAAAAAATCATGTATAAATTATACTCATCATTTTTTAGCAATTATTAAACAAAAATTACCTCTTAATTCAATCTAATTGTATTGGACATTAATTGCCAACTATTAATTATCAAATTAATTACTAAATTGTAGACGGTTGAAAAGGCAACAAAGACCAAGAACAAAAAAAGAGGGAAAACAAAGTGACAAGTAGATGGCGATGTTAAAGCTCAGCTGTTTAACTTGATTCTTTTTGTTTACTCTCCATTTTGATAGTTTCACTTTCTCTTCAATTAATTGTTAATTTATTGATTGTAAACAATCAATTCGACACTTCAATGGCCGATCAAGCTTCCAGTTCTGCTAATCAAGGTGGAGAACCTCGTTATGATAATATCGCTCGTGTGAGAACTTTGGTTTGGTCTTTGAAAGAAGCAGTTCAAGTAAGTGTTTTCTTTTCGTTTCTTTTCAATCGATTAATTTTATTTGATTTTCTACAGAATCTTGTGAAAATTTCTGCTGCATATATTAACCACAATGCTGCTGTCGACAGTGGACTGTAAGTTATCCTGTTTTCGTTTCCATACCAATTCATCTCATTCTAATTCCATCAATTGTTTATTTTTAGAAAAGCTCCTGAAGACAAAGCATTACCACCATTCGATAAGGCATTTGAAGATTTTCATTCTTTACTTAATCAGATCGAGTTACATTTTGTAAGTGATCATTTGATTCTTTGATTCTTTGATTATTTGATTCTGTTCATTGATTCCAATTCTTAATCTGTGTTCATCTCTCTAGAAAACAATACAAGAATGTGCTATCCAACAGCGACAGAGTCAAAAATATTTACCACCACCCGATAAATACAAAGGTGCACCTCAGAATATTGAAACAGGGGAACATGATAACATGACTTATGGACAATACATCAATCTGATCAAAGGCCAAATATCGTACGTTGAGAGTTTACAGAAAATAATTCTCGATGGAGCAAAAAGAATCGAACTACAACAATCTCAATGATTCCATTTTCCATTTACTATTCTGTCCAAATATCTACTGATTATGAACTTTCTCTACAATTAATCACTAAGATTTTATCGAAATGAATACAGCCTAAGTATTTGTTAGATCGAAAATTGGACTTGATTGTTGATCTATTAATAAGATCAAAAGCTCGAATCACAAAAATAAATGTAAATCTATTTTCTAATTGTTGATACAACAGCTTTTGTATCAATCTCTGAAGTTGGTTAAGGAAAAAATCTAATCAATTTTGGAGTCACTTTGATTAACACCAAATTGTTGATCCATTTAAATAAATGATCAAAATGGTTATTGGTAGACTAGTAAATTTAATTAGTTTCACTGAGATTTTGGTATAATAATAATACAAAAGAAAAAGTTAATCAAGGGAATTGGTTAACAATTATTATCATAACATAATACAAAAAGTACAATTTTTTGAGCTTTTTGGCTAATTAACAAATGAGTAATTTAGTAATGAATAATTTATTGTTTGATTTAGTGATTTCTATTGATAAAGATTGAGAATAATTTTTAGTATTTAACTTGATCGGCGATTTAATTTTTCGCTGTCCTTTCTTTATCTTCGCCATTAGTTGAATTGACCAAAACATTGAGCCTTTTTAATTTCTCATCGATATCACATCGAATTTGCTTGAGTTTCCTAATGGCACTTTCATCGGCATCCAAGTCGTTTCGGGACATGAGGCCATTGGAAATATCGGAGACAAATCGATAATTACCAAGACCATCGAGATCGGAAGCTTCGTCTTGTAATAATCTACTAGTTCGACGAATCATGGCCAATAAAGACGAAGACGAACTTTTCATGCGATGAGGTTTTTCCATCGGCTGGCTAGATATTAATATCGGCGAGAAATGAAGAGGCGAGTATTTGATGTAATCACGATGTCGATTCAGCCCAGAATCAAAGCCGATCTTAGATTGATGATGTTGGGAAGATGATCCATTGTGATGAGGATGATGAGGTTGGTGTTTGTTTCGAGTCTTAGAAGTTGATTTATCACGATTTCTTTCATCTTCTGAAGATGATGAACTATTTTCGTAAGATGAGCAACTCGAGATTAATTTTCTCGATCGATTGTAATTGTGATTACTTGATCTCATTCTCATCTTTCTCTCTCTTTCTCTCGAAACTCGAATTGCTTCAAGTTTACCGTTAATTGTTGTTAAATTGCTCTCTAATTGATTAAGTTTCTCTTCTATGGCAGCATTGGATGCAGTTAATTCACTTTCTTTACCTTCAATAATTTTCTTCTCATCGATTGATTGTTTGATTGAATCCAATTCTTTAGTTAAATAGTGTAAAACTGATTTGGTTTGATTCATATCGTCGTTGATTGTTGCTTGACTTTTGGTAAATTGTTCATCTTGTTTCCTAATTGATTTTTCCATCGAATTGATCTCTTTACGAACCAAATCTCGAATCTCATCAATCGATTGTGATAATTTTTCTTGTTCCAACTTTTCTTTCATCATCAAGTGTTTCAACTCACTTCTTAAGGCATCTTGATCTTCATCATCGTCCTGACGGAAACTGTTCACATCTCGAGATAATCGGTGCAGGTCACTTTGGGTCTTCAAGTCAAACTTTCCAAATTATCTTGACTTGTGGAAACTTCAGTCAATTGTTTCCTCAGAGCTTTAATTGTTAGATCATTGTCCTTTTTGAAATCCCTGAACTGTTCCATGGTCATTTCGAACTCATCTTTAATATCGCTCAAGTTTTTCTTCACCAGGTCACTTTCTTTGTTCACCAATTGTTTACAATCTTCCATAACTTGATCCACTTTACTGTTCACCGAATTAACTTCTTGTCTAATCTTGTTAATCTCAGTTGTACAATCGGATCCATGACGATTAGTGGTGATTAAATTGTTTTCCATTTGCTGTTTCTTTTGGTCTGATTGTATCGAGTTAATAGTTTTCTCAGACTGAGATAATCTCCTTTCCACTCCATCCAATCTTTCAACCGTCTTTTTGGCTAAATCATCTGATTTACGATTGATAACTGTAAACAATTCATCTCGCAAATTAGTTATTTCTTTTCTCAATTGATCAGACAATTTTCTAAAATTAGCTTGCTGTCCAATCAAATCAATCAATTCGTGTTTCTGTCTACCAACTCCATCATTTCCAATTTGTTTATCAGCGTTCGTTGACTCAACATCATCATCATCCTCTTCAAATTCAATTTCATCTCCATCATCCACAACTTTTACTTCTTCATCTTCATCCTCATTTTTAGCATCTTCATCTGGTTCCTCTTTCAATGTCTCCAATTGACTGATAGGAAATGAAGGAAGATTAACCAATTCTTGTCTGGTTACCTGGAACATGCCAACACCTTCCCCAGCGAATGGATCATTTTCCAGGCTTTGTAGTGAGAAATCATCATCACCATCAACATCTCCGTCGATATAATTATCTAAATCATCTTGAATGTATCAAAGAGAGAGAAACACAACATGATAATCAAAATAAATCATTTGGAAAAACAGAGTTAAACTTATAAACAATTAGAATAAATTTCTTACCATTAACCTCCAGAGATGGTTTTATATTCCTTGCACCGGGTCGCCCACTTTTAGGCCTCTCGATTTTCACCCTTTTCGTTTGTTCCTCTTCAATCTGACCTTTTCTTTCTCGCTGATTATCACGATAATCAAGATCGATTGTCAATAGATCAATTTGATAGATTTCATGATAATTCTTCGTCGCATGGTCCACCTTCGGTTACATCTAAGGTAACAATTTCCTCTTCAAGGCTTCCATCATCTTCTATTTCCTTGAATGCATCATCATCCAATTCCAATTGTATCGAATCGATATCATCCTCAATTGATTCATCCAAAGAACTTAAAGTTAATCGCTGATCGACAATAACATCATTTGAAGAGGTATTTTTACTTTTCAACATCAACTCGTCGTTTCGCTGTTTCGTCTTTTCACCAGAAATTAAGGATTGACCTAAATTCAGTTTATCCTCTTTTCCTGATTTCCCAATTTGTTTACTACGATTACCTGTCAATCGTAAACCACCAACACCCTCACCATCCTTAACATTTCCTTCAGCATCTTCGTCATCCTCATCACCAACATCCAAGAATCGCAGATTGACCAATGGATTGAGTCGGTCATTCGAAGCCATGAGTGACTTTCGCTGTTGGGATCGTTTCTTTTTCACAAACGATTGGAGGTACTTGTCAATTGGGTGGGTCCAAGTGGAAAATCCAGTTACCTTATTGTGGAAATAGATACGACCCAGTTGATCTTGTCTTCTCAGGTTAATCGGTGAGAAAGTAAGAGAAAAGAAAGAGAAAGTTGAAGAAAGGTTAAACTTTCAAGGTCATGATAACATTTAACAGGATGAGAAGTAATCAAGTTTCAAGAAAACAAAATGACAACTCAGAAAATGAGATTAACTATTTACAGTTTTAAACTTTGATATTTCCATGAGGATGTTTTATAAATCATTGTCTTCATCATCAAGATCATGTCTCATTTAATCAGCTGATTGATAGTTGACAGTTTATGTTAATCAAATCAGTTGAATGTATGAACACTTTTACAACAATTGAAATAAATTGTTTCTCACTCAAACAATTTGAACCATAACCAAACAATTGATAAATTATCATGAATAAATTATTCATGGTTCAGGTCAATCATGAAAACCTTGAGATGTTTTCATCATGAGCACATTGGTTAATTGTTGTTGTTGATTGTTTGTTCAGCTAATTCTGTTAACCTGGTGAGCTCAAGTATTAGATCATGTGAATATCATTTCCATTAAAATAAATTGTATTAACCATTCATCACAAAACTCGGTATTGTAATTAGTGAACAGCAAGAAAACTCATTCAATTCTTAATAATTAATAACAACCACAACCCAAACCAGAAAACCACAAATGATTATAAGTTAATTGTTGATGATGGTAATTAAATGACAGATCGTGTATTGAATTTCAAGGAAACGTCATTAAAACGCAAATACTCAGGTCAAAATACCGGATTAGTAAATTGCTTCAATGATTTTCTATTGTCACTTTTTTCATTCTAATCAGATAATATTCAGAACTGGAACAACTGATTAACTGTTAACTAAATTCAAATCATTTCCATCAAAATTAATCGTTATTTTGGTGGTGGAAAAAGGATCGAAATCATGAATAAGAAATCCATTGAACCCGAATGGTTTTTGTTCAAATTTAGCCGATTTTAAATATTCTTTAGAAAATTGCTCTTCAAGATAATCCATCGGCTCTTAATCTCCAGGTAAGACAAGAATCACAGGTAATACTTACACAGGAATCCAGGAATCAGGTAGAGGAGCTAATAATCCCTTCCGAGCGATCCAAAGGAGATACGATTCAGTTGAAGGATTAATCCCAATGGTTTTAGCATAATCGATTACATCTAATGGATTAAGAATACTAAATGAATCAACAAAAAGTTTCGATAATTGAACAAAAAGTGATAATCTTTTCTAATTCTTACCTTGATGATTAATATCATTGGATGAAATGGAAATCTCCTCTAGAATAGTTTGACCTGATTTATCGTAACTCTCAGAATCAGGATTACCTTCACCCAGACTAACTGTTCAAAAGATGAATTAATAGTAATGTAAATTAGGAATAAGGATAAAAGATTAAACAACAATAAAGAGAAAATTAAATTGGGATTAACATGGCTGACCAAATTTTCTTCGGATTAATAATATTAAAAGTGGATTCAACTTTCTGCTTCTCAAGCCAATGAAGCCATTTCATTGAAACTATGGAAACAATTTAGTTAATGAAAACAATAATAGAGTAAAATAATACACAGAGACAATTTTCTTGTTATTTATCATCATTATGGTCATTTGATTAGATTCCGATTCCTCATCATGTAAATCTAATAATAGATGTTTTAATCTCGTTGACAATTTAATCCAATTGTTTCATGGAATCACATTGCCCATTGATAATAAATATTCATTCATTAATTTCTGTTAATCTTTTTGTCTTTGAAAATGGTGATTGACTTGATGTTAAATTGTTGTCATTTCTTTCAGGCATATTGTTAATTGTTCAATGATTATAATCACTTTTACTAGTGATTAGTCCTATCAATTTGTACTAATTAACTAATAACTCTTGTGATTATCTCTCAGATCCCTTGTTGTTCAAACAATTTGATTAGATTAGAATAGTTAATCTTTATGTTTCATCAATTCAGTCATTTGGAATCGCTTTCATGTAAAACTAAAGCCTGGTAATTGTAAATAAGGAGATGGTGAGTTTATTATGGATTATAAATCAATCTAATCAAAAGCTAAATCACCTTATTATCATCAATTAATAATCGAGAATAATAATAACTGTAAATCTGTGTCTCTAATCAACGAAATTGTTTTCGTGATATTTAATCAACTATTATGTAGTTGTATCAATGGAAAGATATCAAAATGATCGTGGAACGTAATTAAAAATTAAACCGTGACAATTAGTGAATTGTTGACAACAGATTAACGAAGTTTATAAAAGACAGACAGAAAGAGAGAGAGGAGATAATTGATGAAACATTAATTAACTACAGAATAAGTTAATTAATCACTGGAAAAGAAGTAGTTTAATTAACCTACCAGATGAATTTCCATTCATGATAACTCATATTCCTGTTCCAAGGTTGATGATTTTCTCTCTCTCTCTCTCTCTCTCTTGTTGATTAACCAGATATTCGAGGAGAAATGAATTCGTTGTTTGTTTTTTATCAATGTCAAAAAAGAATAGAAAATTGTAGAAAAAAAGAAAGAGAAGAAAGAAGAATATTTAAAGTTGATTGTTCCAATGGAGAACTGAGAGTTGATTCCAAATGTTATCAAGAGTAAATTGATTCATCATGAAGGAACAAAACAATCAAGAATCACAATGAACTTCACGATAAATCTTTCGATTGAACTTTTATCTTTTTCTTTGTCTCATCTTATTAGATGAGAAAAAGCAACAAACATATAAAAAGACATTTAAGTCCAAAGAGAATTGATTGTTGATGGGTTGGTCGTTAAATTGTCATTTCGAGTAAATTAGTTGAAGGAAATCACTGAGTCCCAGATTAAATGATTGACAATTAACTGTTGAACAAGATTAATTAGTGAGCAAATTAAAAGAATAAAAAACAAGACAATATGATTAATGTTTCTATTGAAGATTAGGTTACCTAGGGAACGATCTTTGAGTTTTATCTGTTGCTGGTCAATTGTTGACATTTGATTGTTTAGTTTTCCAATTGCATTTTAATCATCATCATCTTATTATTTTGTTGGTTAATTGTCTTCTAATCACTTGGTTACGCCATCGCTACGATGGCGGACATTTTGCTAACAGAATCGGCGGTTGGTTCTTGTAACAATGGACACTGGCTAATCATCGGACTGGAACATTATAATTACTTTGTAACCATTTTAATCTCCATCATGATGATGAGTGTTTCTGTTTATTTGTCACAAAGAAAAGTTGACAAAAAGCCTCAAGGTGAAATTAACAAAAAATGACCAGTACAATGACCCACAGAAAATGAGAGGCAAGGGATGAGAAAAAGCCGAACAAGATGGCGACCGATTAATGAAAGTTGACCAACCATTTTTTTCACAATTAACCGGTTGTTCCTATTGTCTCTGTTCATCGCTGCGAATCAATTATCATTTTCCCTCAGGGGTGTTTACACTAACCAGAAATTAACCAGTTTCTATGGTAATTAAGGTAAGATGAGATTCTATTGTTTTTTTTCTGGTTCTTTTCTGGTTAATCTCTTTCCTAGTCTATTAAAGTTGATAGAATAGTTAATCGATTAAGATTAATGATGTTCCTTTTTCATTGATTATCTTTGTTGTTCAATTTCAGAAACTGAATAATCACATACCTGTTGTTGAATCAACAGTTAATCATCATGATCAAATTAATTTACTTTGTTCTCGATGTTTATTATTACCTTAAGATAAACATGAAAACAATGAGAAAAAAGCAATTCTGATTAAGATTATGTTCTGGATTCTTGATTGATAATAACATCTGAATGATTGATTATTATGAAAGTGATGAGGATGAAGATGATCAATTGATTATTGTTACTGTTTGTCCTTCAGGTAATTAACTGTACCATTAACAACGAGAGAGAGAGATGAAAACTAAACAATCTTGTTTATTGATAAACCAATTTACAACAATCTATTGGAATGGGAACAATTAGTTTGATTGCTAATTGAAACAGCAGCTATTCAATTAAATTTCTGTTCTCATCACTTCCTCTTAATCATCCATAGACTGTTTCAATTAACATGTATCAACAGTTACCTGTTTATCTAATCATTTGGTGTGTGACTGGAATTATATTGTTATCATGGTCCGATCAGGATTATCCGAATTGCGATAAAAAGTCCGTCTCGTCGATCGTTAAAAATGGGACTAATTATGCTCGAAAAGTTTTCCTTGGTTGTGCCTTTCGATTCGGAGAGATCGCTAAATTTATCAACAAACGATCGGGTGAAGATGTAACAATTAAGTGTATCTCCAAGAATGAAAGTTTATCGGGTGATTTAATTGAATCTGGATCAATGTTCGTCCTCGATGTATTCAAGGAACCATTGGAATCGCTTGATTGGAAATGTACAATTAACGACACTTACAATCAAAAGATCACTTTAAAACCTTTCGACAATTACAAGAGTCACCAATCATTTAATTATCAATTAAATGATGCAGGCATTTACGATATGAGTCCAAGACTTGTCTCCATGTGGAGTTAAATTGTAACAATCAACTTAAATTGTACAAAATTGAGGCAAAAAAATTAAGACCAACAATGTATATTTACAATGAGCCAATCAAACAAATAAACTCAATCATCAATGATTAACAATTAGCTGAATAGTTTAATAATTGTAATCGACAAAATCTAAATTGTCTCACTTTTCAATCATAATAAATCACAATGGAAAACTAATCATTGATCAATTTATTAAATTGTTACTTTTTTGAGTTAGTTTTCTGCTCCACTGATTAGTGATTAAGGCGTTTTAATTTTATAATTTAAAGAATCAAGGACAATCAATTGATTTAGCAAATGTAAAACTTGATTCTAATCATTGAATTTCATTGATAACAATTAAAATCATTATCAATGTTACGGTCAATCAACTTTCAATGTTATTATCAATTCAGTAATCATAATAATAGTAACAATCAATGGTGATAAATATTGATTGTTGTGATAATATTATTGATTGTAGATTATCATCTTAATGATTAACATTATTGATCTGGATTTAGTAACAAAATAAATGTTTTAATCATTTTAATTTACAATTTAAATTGTTATCGATTCCTTTTCTCCCCACTCGAAATTGAGTAACAATTTAGTTAACTGAGAGTAAATTGTCACTTGGACTGATTAACATTGCTACTTAATTTCTAATCATTATGATAATTAAAAGTTCCCAATCAATGGATGATTCATACTCTATGTTAATGATTACATTTAATTAATGGAAACATATTAATCATTGACTATTCATTGATTCATTTGATTCACAATCAAATTAATTCATTTTTGCTCATCATCTTTCAGCTGTTGATTATTGACTGATATTCAATTACACTTGATTAGACAATTAATCATGATTATCTTTGTTGATTATTTGTAATTAGCAAGATTAACCCATAGAGTTGATTACCTAGAAAATTAATCAATTGTTTATCATTAATTTTGATCATTTTCATTTCTAAAAGTTTGTTATTAGCTAAACAATTTAATTTCTTTCTCATTGTTTCCTTCATTAATAATTTACTTCATTGTTTTCTTGTTAACTGTTAATTGTGAACAATTATAATAACTACATTGTTAGATTACAATTAACTTAACACACCTACAATTTATTATTATCATTAAACTCAGCCCACAATTAAGAAACAAACTCTCAAGGTTGGGTTGATTAGTGATTCTTCAATCAATTTTTGATTACATTCATTTAATAATATCGATGATTCAAATTGTTCAATTAATTGATAATTAAGAAAATTTATTTTCCAAAACATCAAAACAATTCACAATCAACAATACAAATATCGTAGTTGACTTTTTCTTTGGAAAAATTGTCATCTAATCATTTAATTAAATGTTTAACTTTGACAAGTGAAAACTGATTGATAGTTAATTTTTTTTTGTAATAGAAAAATTTGATTTAATTTGATTGAAATAATTTCATTTTCTTTCAATTTTCGGTTAAAATCGATTCAAAAATCGATTCGAACAATCGATCATTCGAATAGAATCTTTTTATTTTCTATTCTCTTTTCTCATCTTACCTTTTTTTCTGTAATAATTTTTGTTTCTTTTCAAAATCATTAATTGTGTTTCCACTGTTTTGTTAAATATTTTTTTCTATTTAACTTTAATTGTCAATCTAATTAAACCATTTTATGCTTGTTACTATTACTATGGTTATCTGGATAAAGTTATTTTTCTTTAATTACTGTGAATACAATTTAACTTGATTGGTTATCACTTGTCTGGCTTCAACATCATCTTTTTACCTTCAAAAGAATCTAAAAAAACCTCTTCTTCTTGAATATCTTGTTTCTCTCTGTGCTTTTTTCTCTCTTTCTTTTTCTCTTACACACACACTTTTTTTCTTTCTCTCTTTTCCTCTATCTCTATCTTTTTTTCTGTTTTGTGTGTGTGTGTGTGAGTGTTGTTTATTTATGTGTATCTTTTTCTGTGTGTTTATCTTTCTCCCTTTCCCTTCATCTCTCTGTGTATAAATTTAGTGAATAACTAATATTCAAGTCCTTGATTCTTTATTACATATTACATATTGTGTTCCATGTTTCGTTGGGGATTCTTATTGAAAACCTGTAACCGTCAAATTGACTGTGTTGACAAGAGGCATTGTAGCTTGTCTAGAGTGCCTGATGATATTGCCCGATATGCCTCATCATTGGAAGACTTATTATTGGACTCTAACCATATTAAAGATTTACCTGATTCCTTATTCCGGCTTCATAGACTTCAGAAGCTGAGTATTTCAGATAATGAGATAGGATGTTTACCTATGGACATAGCTAAGCTTTCTAATCTAGTTGAATTGGATGCATCAAAGAATGAAATAATAGAGATACCCAGTTATCAAATTCTTGCGTCGCTTAAAGGAGCTTGATCTAAGTTTCAATCCTCTTCGAAATGTGCCCAATGCCATCACCCATTTGACCAATTTGAAAAGTTTATCCCTTAATGATGTTAATTTACAACATTTACCCTCCGATATTGGATCGCTTATTAACCTGGAGTCACTTGAGCTCAGAGAAAATCTCATTAAAACATTACCACCAAGTTTTTCCAATTTAACTAAACTTCAACGTTTAGACCTGGGCAGCAATCAATTAGAAGAATTACCTAAAATTATTGGCGATCTTATAATGTTACAAGAGCTTTGGCTTGATGAAAATGGATTGAGAACCCTACCTAAAGAGATTGGTAATTTGAAAAAGTTAACCTGTCTTGATGTTTGCGAGAATTGTCTCAGTTATCTACCTGAGGAAATTTCTGGCCTATGGAATTTAACTGATTTACATCTCTCTGATAATCGTCTTGAACAACTACCTGATGGAATAGGACAACTTAATAAACTTGTGATTCTCAAAATAAACCAAAACAACCTTTTCTCATTAAATCCAACCATTGGTGGTTGCTCATCTCTCCAAGAATTAGTTTTAACCGAGAATTCATTACCCGAATTACCTCCAACTATCGGTAATTTAATTCATTTATCAATATTAAACTTGGATCGTAATGAGCTATCTGATTTACCGGCCCAACTTGGTAATTTAACGAAATTAAGTGTTTTATCATTAAGACAAAATCATATTACCCACCTTCCAGTTGAAATTGGTCAACTTGGAACTTAAAGTGCTCGACGTTTCTGGTAACAATTTACAAAACCTTCCATTCTCAATAACGGCTCTTAATTTGAAAGCGTTGTGGTTGGCGGAAAATCAATCACAACCGTTGCTCAAATTTCAGAATGATTTTGATGAACAAAGTGGACTCAAAGTGTTGACATGTTACTTATTGCCTCAAGCCCAGACTACTGATTATTACACTAGTGGAATTACTGGTAACAAATGGTTTTCTTCCTCATTCTCTTCCTCCTTCTATTTCCTAATTCGGGTCATAGATTAACTTAATTATCGGTTAAGTGATGATACCTATTAATAATTTATTATTAATATGATATTGATATGATACTTAAAGGTTTAACAGATTCACCTTTTTTTATGTCTATCATTTTATTTATGATGATGTCTTTTTTTTGTCAATAACATAATGTTATTAGTTGACAGCATAATAAATGCAGTCTCATTACTCTGTTTTTACAATAGTCATGAATTTTTGATTTCCCATTGTCACAATTTCCATTATTGTTTAATTTTATTATGACTAATCTATTTTCTCATTTTTCTTTTCCATCTGTAGATTTGGCATCACCGAATCAAGTTGAATCACCAAGTCCCACTTTTGGTCGTCCTCGAGAATCTGCAGTTAGATTCCCTGATTCAGTTTTCGTCGAGGAAGATGGTCTTAATACAGGTGATCAAAGAAGCCGATTCGAAGCAAACTTTATCCGACATGATACACCACATCCGAAAGAACTTAAAGCAAGACATTCGAAATTATTTAAAGAGAAAGATCAAAAATACGAGCCTGATGAAGAAGAGAAGAAGAAGAATCTCAAGAAACATCATCCGTCCATAGTCGAGAAGGATCAAAAAGTCCAAGTAACTCAGAATCATCTGAGGCCTCTTCAGTTATTATTAGGATGGCTGATACAAGAATGAGTCAGGATGAAAAGCATGTTCTATTTCCGGATCAACCTAGTAAAATACATAGGCCATTAGATGATGAGCAAGAAGATGATGAAGAGGAACCAGAGGAAACACTTCATGATGGGAAAGATGAAGATGAAGTAGATGACGAAGAAAGGAGGGAGAAACATAAACTTCATCGCCGTGACACGCCTCACCATTTGAAAAACAAGAGGATAAATATGCCTAATTCAAAAGAAGATTTAAATAAGTTTGCATCTATCATCAAAGAAGTTTTGAAAAAGGAAAATTCATCAAACAATGTTCATGGAGATGATATTTCATCTCACAATTCATCCTTTTCCAACGCCACCATGACAACTCCTCTACCAATGGGCCCTGTTGAAATTAAACAGATGAAGTTTTATGTTTCACGAGCTGTCGGAGGACTTGGGCTTAGTATTGCTGGAGGTCAGGGTTCAACACCTTTCAAGGGTAATGATGAGGTATATTCGTGTCCAAGATTACTTCAGGAGGTCCAGCTGAATTATCTGGGCTAAGAGTTGGTGATAAAATATTAGCTGTCAATGATATTTCCATGGAAAATGTTGACCATTTTAAGGCTGTAGAAGCCTTAAAAACGGCTGGTTTCGAATTCTCTGTTCTTGCTGCCAGAGAAGTGCCCATAAATGATCAAAATTCAATAAACAGATCGATGGATATAAGTGCATCAAATCATCATATAAATCATGATGTCCACCTTTCAAATGGCGATTCCTGTCTAACAGTATCACCTACACATGAAAGAACTTCATCAATGAATCTTAGTAGAAAACCTTATCAGCATTTAAACGAATCTTTCACTTCAACATCTTCACAGCCCTTAAATCAACAACCTTCATCATTCTCACCTGAAAGTGAAGGAGAAATTTCTCCTAAGCCTCAATCTAAAGTGAAAACAGTTGTCGATTATACAATAATAATTCGTGAACCCACTGGATTAGGTTTTTGCGTCGCTTATGGTAAAGATGAAAAGTCTATAATAATTTCAAGAATAGCTCGGGTGGAGCCGCTCAGAAAGGGTAAACTGAGAGTTGGTGATAGAATCATCAAGATTGAAGGACAAGATATTTCTGGAATGAAGAAAGAACAAGTAGTAGATATGTTAACTAAACCCGAACGATTTGTTCGACTTTGTGTGGAAAGAGACGTGATTGAAGGTGATGATGATTCCTCAAAAGCATCATTTTCCTCCTCCTTCTCTCGGCCTTACACTGGCCTTTCATCGGCATCCTACATGGCTAATAGACCAACATTCACTGGATCTTACAAAAGACCTTCTTTAGGATCATTAAGTAATATAAGCCATGATTCGGGTGGAGTCGGGGGATCAAACTCTTCAAAGCCAACATATTCAGTATTCACCAGATTAACCGGCCTAAAAGGTGATCTGACTGTTTTCAATCCATCCACCACCGTGACACCACCGACAACAACACTGACAACATCCTCGTCCTATTCAACGTTACCCTCCAATTCCACCTTCACCACTTCATCTACGCCATTTAACAACAGTGCCTCTCAAACCTTGAAGTCAAGTGCCTCTATTAGTGCATTAAATCAAACAGGTAATTAACAAATGTCAATATTATGTGAAAAAAGTATTTTACCTGGTAGGGAAGATGAGATCTCTCTTTCTCTCTCTATTTGTTCAATCGGCCTCAAGTAATTCTTGATTTTCATCTCCTTTTTCATGGAAATTTATTAGGTGCCAATCAGCAACTAAACGAAACAACGACACATTCTAGCTTCTCGAAACCCCCTGTAGTTGTAAGGATAGAGAAACACCAAGTTCTTAAACCTCATGAAACTCTGGAAGCTGAATTGCCACCACCACCATCGATGGCCGGTTTATATACTGAAGTTTTGACTAAAACAACTTTCACCGAAACAACAACCACCCGAGTTACCAACAATATCCTCAAGGATTCAACCGGTTCCATTGTAACAGAATCAACTGTAGCAACGGAAACTCGGTCAGGATGAGGGAATTAATTCAAATCTAAATTTCATGGTCTCTCTTTTTCTCCTAAACTAACTATTACAATTAAGACAAAGCTCCATCCTATCGGCTTTTTTTCTTCTTCTGTCATTCTTTCTGTCTATCTTATATACTAATCAAATTAATTAGAGGCTAATTTAATTTAAATCATTACAAAGAATCGTACACACCAGTAAAAAGGATAAAATGATTTATCTTTTTTACTTTCATCGACAACACACCAACTTCATTTTCACTTTATGCCTCTCAAAATTCACATTTTCTTGTGATCATCATGTCTCATTAAAATGACTCTATTTCAATGATTGTTAACATAAAAACCTAATCGATTGTTGGTGAATCGTTACAATTAATTTTAATGACAAATTCATCATCTTGTGTAAGTTATGAATAAAAAAAATCTCAATTTTAAGGAAACAATTACAATCTAAATAATCCCCTTTACTAATTACTATTAATTGTTATCAGCTCTTTTCTCCTACGTGTTATCTTTTTCCACATTGAATCTAATTACATTTAAACCAATTTCCTTCTCGCCGAATTAAATCATTTGCAATAATTACAATTAAATCTAATCATCAAATTTTGATGTTTACGCGGCTTTTTTTTTCGTGTAATCAACTGTCATTCATAAACGAAAACAAAGAAACTGATTAACTTATTCAACGATTTAAATGATGAAACATTTTATTTCTACAAAATATTCACAATTATGAAATTCACTAAATCACTTAATCTAATCAAGAATAATCAAATTTAATTTTCGTTTGGTGTTAAATTTGTAGTCACAATTACCAATCCATTTAAGTTAATTGTTTATTATCTTTTTTCACTCTGAATTCAAGTTATTAAAACAATTAACAAGAAGCTGTTGTCCTTTTTAGAAGCCTTAATTTTTATCTCTCAAGATGATTTACAATTTAATTTCGTAACAAATTAAATTAATTTAATCAAATGATCAAACATTGACTCGATTCCAGAATTGAGTTGTCCTAAATTGTTCATAAATCAGGCTGGTTTATGGGTGACTTTGTCTATCTAAAACTTTGAATATTTTAATGAATTAGATCAAAGAAAATATTAAATGGGTGACAATTAATTAAAATAATCTAAAGCAATTAAGTTAATCATCTCGCAAACAAAATCAAAATACGATCAAGTCGCCATCTAGTGAGGTAGAAATTTATCAAAAAAACTTGAGATCAATCAATTAAATAAATTAAATAATGAATTTGATTAACGATTGAATGATTTAATAGAAAAATTTACAAATGTTGTTCATATCAAGGTCTAACCGTTGATGTAAATGGTTTCATTGAGGCGATAAAAGTTGGTCCATCAGAGACAAGAATGAAAAAAGATCCTCTGTCGATAATCATTGTGTCGTTGAATGTTAATTTACGTTGATTGTCATCATCGATTGTTAATTTTGCATAAGAACCAAGATGCCAAATGAACAGTTCAGTATCGACGGAGATAACAATATGTTTACCTGGACCATAAAATCCAATCCTCGACTCGACTGATTGAGGATAAAGGAAAGAAAATCCTTCACAAATTGATAAGTAATTAAACTTAAACCAATCGAGTAAATAAATGGGCGATTGTAGTTTAATTGTCCGATCATCTGGATGAGGTGTCAATGAATTATCGTAAAATTGAGTTGGACGACCAGTCGCACATTCAATGGACGATTTGAATGATTCAATGATTGGCTTGAGATCGGTGTCCAAATTAACCAAATGAAACCATTTCTCGAATAAAACTTGATTACAATTAGAATCGATGTAATAACGAAGACAATCTAGTTCATGATCTAATCGCTTTCGCTCAATCACCATTCCAAGGGTATCGGCAAATCGTTGAGGACTATGAGGTACCGACTTGGTAGTACAAAATTTCACCTAATTGTTGATTGATTGATAGATAAATGAGAAAACAATTTAATCTTTTTGCTTGATTATTGTTTCTTCCTTACAATTGTATTCATTTGTTTCAAAATGTTCATGACAAGATGATAATATGATTTTATCAATTCTGATAAATCACGAAAAACACAATAAACATGATTGAAGACAATTAAGATTGTTGGTAATTAACTTAATTCTACTAACTTACCTTCTCTAATTGTTAAAGCCTTCGAGTGTCCTTGCTCGATAATGTTCAGTATCATGTCACCTTTAAGCATTATGAATATTTCTTCACCATTTTCAACGTGATAATCATTTCGTTGATTAGGTCCACCAACAAGGAAGATCTTTAATTGTCCATTGAAAACTAATTTATTGCAAATTGGTGGTTTAAGGTAAACACCATTTTCCTCAACCCATTGATCAATATTGATCACTTTCGATTGAAAATCTTTCATTTTAAAATGTCACAAATTGTTGAACGATCACAATTGGAGCCATTAAGGTGTAACTATTATCTTGTCAATCAAATTTGATTCACTTTGATTATATCAATTGACAAGGGATATCAAAGGCACTACCAGTTGAATACTAGTCAATTTAATTGTACAATTAAAAGTTGATTTGATTAAGAAATGGAAGCCAAAAACAACAGATAATCAAATTGACTTTAGATGTAAACTAATCAAAATGTTGATTTAGACTAAAAAAGTTGCCAATGATTAATTATTTACTAATTACTTTGATAAAAACATAACATTAAAAGTCCTTGTCAATGTCTTATCATATCACCAGATAATTAGATTTGATTAGTGTTAATCTGTTTGACTTTAGATCATAACAATTAGAGAGATTTTGATTCAATTAAGGTTATTCATTTGATTTGTTTACGCATTTAACTTTTCAATGGTTTGATTGTCACTAAGATTTAATTAATTGTCTATTTTACTTAACAATCAATGCATTTAGTTAACCAAATAGGTTGTAATTAACTTAAATCAACCAGAAGTATTTGATTCAAATAATTATCAAAATTATTCCAATGAATTAATTACTAATTATTGAACATTGCTCGATATTTAATCAAAGATTAATTATATTGGTATTGAGTAAATTGCGCTTAATTATACAACGAATTAAGCATAGTATAACGATCGATAGAAAGTGATAATTAATTAATTGCGAATCTATTTCTAACTCTGTTAAATTAAGCCAATTGTGTTTCCACTCAATCTATTACTTTTTGATTAGATTATTTAGTATGACAATTAAGCACATAAGAGGACACATCAGAAGTGAATGAAATTAATTAATATGAAAAGTGAATTAAACAGAAGAAGATCAAAATTAGGAAAATTGAGTAAAAGTTAATTGTCCTGAATCAGAACAATTAGTTTGATTTGCATATTCATTTGATAGATTGAGTGGATCAATTTCTTTGCTCAATCAACTGATTAATTTTAATCTATGAATAAAATAGTTTTTACTGAAGCAAAAGTCAATGGAAATTCAATCATCCAACTAAATGATTTAATTGTTTCTCTCCTTCAGGTAACAATTTGAATTAATTTCTTGAGACGATAAAGCAGCCAAGTTATAAGCCGATCTGATTTTTCTTTGATTTAATTGTTTAATTGTGACTCAATAAACGTAAATCACTAACTTGTGATTATCAAAGTTAAAATTATAATTGTGATTAATTTCAATTTCGCCCGTTAAATTGACAACACAAACATAAACGAGTAGTTGAGGCGCTTCGGTCTTTCTGCTGACCAACTCCATTTGCTTGTTTGTTTGTTTCTTGTTTCTTTCATCTAAACTTTGGTACTTATTTTTCAATTGATTCACAACTAAATTGTTAACACTCAAATGGTTGGACCAATAAATTATCACAATCAACTAACCAAACTACCTTGTTAATCTGTGATATGAAAAGTCCTTCATGTTTTCATTAGAATCCAGTGAATTATATAAACATTGAACTTCAGTTATAAGATTTTTCTTTGGTTCTTAAGACCTTTTTGTTGACAAACATCATGTTTTCGAAGCTAAGTAGACCTTCTATTGGTTTCGGACTTCGTTTCTTGGAACAAGTAAACACCAACAATTCGAATAAAAATGTCGTTTTCTCTCCTTTAAGTGTCATCTTAGCCTATGGAATGTTATTGGAAGGAGCGACTGGTAGAACTGAAGATCAGATCAAAGAGGTTCTCCAATTATCTTCTATTGGTGATCAAAATTCTGACGTTTCTCAAGCCGCGAAAAAGGTGATTATTAATATTTTGATTAATCTATTGATTATTTTGTTTATCAACAATACGATTCATTTCTTTGATTACTGATCAATATTTGGTTTCTTTTTTTATATTTTAGCTTCTTGATGAATATAAATCGATTGCTGAAGGTTCGAGTGATCGCAACTTCTCATTGGTTTTAGGTAATTTGGCGATAGCCAATAGAGCTTATCCATTAAAAGAAGCGTTTGTCCAAAGCTTATCGACTAATTATTTCGCTCAAGCGACAAATGAAGATTTTCTTAAAGGAGTTGAAGTCATGAATAAGCTAAACTCGTGGGTCTCTGAAAAGACTTTTGGCAAAATCGATGAAATCTTACCCGAACCTCCGACTCCACAAACGATATTAATGCTGATAAACACCGTTTATTTCAAAGGAAAATGGGTCGAACCATTTAATAAAGGAACTACATTTGATGAGACTTTCAATAATTCTGATGGAACTACGAGTAAAATCAGAATGATGTCAATTCGAATAAAATCGTAATTACCTTCACAATTCCGTAGATAAATTCAAGGTAAATTGAACCCTTAAGTTTATAATCATTTTTACATCAAAAGCAAACAATTTACTTAATCATCTTTTTCCATGTAATTTATTTTATCTAAATTTTAGATTGTTGAGCTTCCATACATCGGAGATGTTAGTATGATCTTCATTCTACCCACCGAATCCAACACTTTACCCGATTTACTTCGTACATTGAATTCAATTGGATTAGAAAATCTATTGGGTTCTATGAAATCAACAAAGCTTCGTACTCTTAATATTCCAAAATTCAAGCTTGAAGATACCCACAAGTTACATGAGATTCTTCCTCGTATGGGAATGGACTTGCCGTTTAGTGGACATGCAGAATTTCAGAATATCACCGAAGAATCTAAACTACTAATATCCAAATCAATTCAAAAGGCTCTGATCGAAGTCGATGAAGAGGGAACTGTCGCTGCAGCGGTGACGGCCATTATAACGATGAAATCCGCTAGGAAATCTTCACAAGTAGAAGAAGATTTCATTCTTGATCGACCTTTCATCTTCATGATTCGGGACAATTTAACCGGAGTCAATCTCTTCCTTGGTCAAATAAACAAAATGTCCAGTCTAAAGTGACCCATTCCTTATATCCTATGTACACTCTATAACAAATTTTTTCCTTCATCAACTAATTGCGGTTCAAGTTTTACATACACTCGATTTCTAATAATTGCTAATTGTTGATTGCTCTCAATAAACTTTCAATCGTAATATCAATTTTTCATATTGGAAACAATTAACGGTAAACTTGAAGCAATTCGAGTTAGAGAATGAAGAAAGAAAGAAAGAGAGGTGATAATTGATAGAAAGTGATGTTTAATTAATTGCGAATCTATTTTACTCTGTTAATTAAGCCAATTGTGTTTCCTCAAATCTACTTGTTGGTTAATTTATTTAGTATGACAATCAAACACACGAATCGTTATAAATATGAAAAGCTAATTCAAACTGATTAAAGTTGTAATCAATTGTTGTAATTATTTGCTACTTGAAGATTAACCTTAAAAGCTATCACTTAATCAATACAATCAATTCTGAGAAAAACAGTAATTTTAATTGATCAATAATTCTTGCTAAATGATTAAAAGTTTGCAAGATCAAAATCCTCCCAATCAGCTAATTGTGTAAAAAATTGTGTTTATTTTTAAACATTTAAATTGCATGAATATGTGATTGTTGACAAGAATTAAACAATTATCATGAGTGTGAATACAAAATGCAAGCTTATTATCAATTGTTATGATCAAAGATGCAACAATTAAGACTTAACATTGTATTGAAACCAATGTCATTATTTTGTTGTCAGTAAATTGTTTACCAATCGATGACAATTGAATTTGTGACTATACAAAAACTTCAGTCAAATAAAGTAATAAGTGATTAAGGATGGTAACTAATTGATTAAGTTGACAATTGAAAGGTTAAAAATTAATCATTCAATAAAAATGATTGTGATTACCAATCACTATTGAAACAATTGACTCTCATTTCCTTGATGTTAATCAATTACAAACTCACAAGGTTGTCTGGTAACAATTTAATTCTCATGTTGTCATGTGAAAGTAATTAGAAAGAAATTCACACTTAATCATGATTAACGGTCAATTAATCACTCGAATTTCATCTTAAATTTATTAATATGAAAATGTGAATTTAGCTAAAGAAGATTAAAATTAACAGAGTTGAGTAAAGGTTAATTGTTCTGAATCAGAACAATTAGTTTGATTTGCATATTCATTTGATTGAGTGGATCAATTTCTTTGCTCAATCAACTGATTAATGATAATCTATGAATAAAATAGTTTTTACTGAAGCAAAAGTCAATGGAAATTCAATCATCCAACTAAATGATTTAATAGTTTCTCTCCTTCAGGTAACAATTTGTATTAATTTCTTGCGACAATGAAGCAGCCAAGTTATAAGCCGATTAGAGTTTCTTGATTAGCCAGTTAATTTGTGGCTCAAGTAATTAACGTAAATCAACTCCCTAACTTGTCAGCTGATTGTTGCCTTTCATTGGAAGGCTTAATTGTTTTTTCCTCTCGGTTTCAACTGCGCTTTGAATTCTTGTCATTTGATTATTGCCTCATCGAAAGTAAATCCTATTCCAATTACATGTAATTCACAACCAAACTGCTCAAACTGAAATGCTTACACCCCGATGAATTATCACAATAAACAAACCGAATTATCTTTTTAATCTGTGAAATCCTTTTTTGCTTTTCATTAGAATCTATTGAGTTATAAACACTGAGATTCAGTTGCTCAGTCATCAGATTTTTTTCAACATCTAGAGTTTTACAAACATCATGTTGTCGACATTAAGTGGGCCTTCAATTGGTTTCGGACTTCGTTTCTTGGAACAATTAAACACCAACAATTCGAATAAGAATGTCGTTTTCTCTCCTTTAAGTGTCATCTTAGCCTATGGAATGTTATTGGAAGGAGCGACTGGTAGAACTGGAGAACAGATCAAAGAGGTTCTCCAATTATCTTCTATTGGTGATCAAAATTCTGAAATTTCTCAAGCCGCGAAAAAGGTAGTTATTAATACTTTGATTAATCTATTGATTATTTTGTTTATCAACAATACGATTCATTTCTTTGATTACTGATCAATATTTGGTTTCTTTTTTTATATTTTAGCTTCTTGATGAATATAAATCGATTGCTGAAGGTTCGAGTGATCGCAACTTCTCATTGGTTTTAGGTAATTTGGCGATGGCCAATAGAGCTTATCCATTAAAAGAAGCGTTTGTCCAAAGCTTATCGACTAATTATTTCGCTCAAGCGACAAATGAAGATTTTCTAAAAGGAGTCGAAGTCATGAATAAGCTAAACTCGTGGGTCTCTGAAAAGACTTTTGGCAAAATCGATGAAATCTTATCCGAACCTCCGACTCCACAAACGATATTAATGCTGATAAACACCGTTTATTTCAAAGGAAAATGGGTCGAACCATTTAATAAAGGAACTACATTTGATGAGACTTTCAATAATTCTGATGGAACTACGAGTAAGATCAGAATGATGTCAATTCGAAATAAAAATCGTAATTACCTCCACAATTCCGTGGATAAATTCAAGGTAAATTGAACCCTTAAGTTTATAATCATTTTTACATGAAAAACAAACAATTTACTTAATCATCTTTTTCTATGTAATTTCTTTTATCTAAATTTTAGATTGTTGAGCTTCCATACATCGGAGATGTTAGTATGATCTTCATTCTACCCACCGAATCCAACACATTATCCGGTTTACTTCCTACGTTGAATTCAATTGGATTAGAAAATCTTTTGGATTCTATGAAATCAACAAAGCTTCGTACTCTTAATATTCCAAAATTCAAGCTTGAAGATACCCACAAGTTACATGAGATTCTTCCTCGTATGGGAATGGACTTGCCCTTTAGTGGACACGCAGAATTTCAGAATATCACTGAAGAATCTAAACTACTAGTATCCGAATCAATTCAAAAGGCTCTGATCGAAGTCGATGAAGAGGGAACTGTCGCTGCAGCGGTGACTTCTATCAGGATGATGAGATGCTGTATGATCTCTCCAAAAGAAGAAGAAGAAGATTTCATTCTTGATCGACCTTTCATCTTCATGATTCGGGACAAATTGTCGGGAATTAACCTATTCATCGGTCAAATGAATAAAATGCCAGATCTTAACTAATCTCTTTTATGTATCTCATTCAACACTTGAATAAGAATAAAAAAATTTCAATAATCATCTGATTACGTGTTAACTAATAAACTGAAGATTATTTCCAATGCTTTCACAACTCGATTGCATTAACTTTGATTACCTGATTTCTGTCTTTTAATTAATCGATTGTCAACCCATCAAGTTTTTTCTTATTAATTATTCATGAAAGAAAAGTTGTAATAAGAAAAACTATCACAACCGATCGATGTTATTTGAGATTTGGTTCGTAAATAACATGAATTCAAAATGATTTGACTGTAATTTTTTAAAAGAAATGGAGGATTTTTGTTGTTTTGAATAGTCAACAATTATCGGAAATTTTTCGCTAAGATCGCTCATGATTGCGCTTGATTAGTCAATTTCAATTCGGCTCTTTAAGTTGTAAAAATCTACACTAGTAATTAAAGCGCTTCAGTATTTCTAATCACCAATCAACACTAATTGTGTTTCCCTCTCATAACAAGTTTACATTTTCGACCTTTAGATTGTAAATTTTCACATTAATTTGATGATCAATATTGTGATAAATCGGTGATTCTGTCATAAATCCATCAGATTGTTTTAATAATCTAGAAACCACCTAGTTGAGAAACACCATGTTATCGGATTTGAGTGGACCTACTAACAGTTTCGGACTTCGTTTCTTGGAACAATTAAACACCAGTGATTCTAATAAAAATGTCGTTTTCTCTCCTTTAAGTGTCATCTTAGCCTATGGAATGTTATTGGAAGGAGCGACTGGTAGAACTAGAGAACAGATCAAAGAGGTTCTCCAATTATCTTCCATTGGTGATCAAAATTCTGAAATTTCTCAAGCTGCGAAAAAGGTAATTACTTCGATTGATTAACTCATTTACTCTTTTACTGATCGCAAATAAGATTCATTTCTTTGTTTTATTTTAGCTTATCGATGAATATAAACACTTACACTGATTGATTAACTCAATGATATTTTTATTGATTGAAATTTCAATTCTGTTTCCAGCTCCTGTCTAGATACAGAGCGTTGATTGCAAGGTCGAAATCTCAAGATTTCTTAGTGATTTTAGGTAATTTGGTTATGGTTGACAAAGGTTACCCATTGAGAGAATCTTTTGTTGGAAGCTTGCAAAGAAATTATTTCGCTCAAGTGACAAATGAAGATTTCCAGAACGGAAAAGCAATTATGGATAAGCTGAACTCGTGGGTCTCCGAAAAGACATGTGGAAAAATCGATAAAATCTTATCCAGATCCCCGAATCCAGAAATGTTATTATTGGTTATTAACACCGTTTATTTCAAAGGAAAATGGGCCAAACCTTTCAATAAAAAGTACACATTTGATGAGACTTTCGCTAATTCTGATGGAACTAAGAGTAAAATTAAAATGATGTCCCTTCGAGATACGAATTTTAAATATCTTCACAATCGCTTAGCCAAATTCAAGGTAAGTAAAGAGAATTCAACCCTTGTCAATCTAATTGAATAATATCAACCAATATTTCCAACTCTAGATCGTCGAGCTTCCGTATATTGGAAAAATCAGTATGATCTTCATTCTACCAACTCAAACCAATACTTTGGCCAATTTCATTCCTACATTGAATTCTACGAAATTGGAAAATCTTTTGAGTTCTTTACACTCGACAGGCCTCAAGGTTGTTAATATTCCTAAATTTAAACTCCAAGATTTTCACGATCTAAGTATGATTCTTTCGCGAATGGGAATGGAATTGCCATTTACTGAGCAAGCGGAATTTAAAAACATCACTGAAGAATCTGATTTACTATTCGTATCTGAATCTATCCAAAAGGCTCTGATCGAAGTAGATGAAGAGGGAACTGTCGCTGTAGCGGTGACATGCATTAAGTCTGATTTTGCTCCTCCAGAACCTAAAGAAGAATTCATTCTCGACCGACCCTTCATCTTTATTATTCGTGACAATTTAACTAGAGTCAATCTCTTTGTCGGTCAAATGAACAAAATGCAGAATCTAAATTAGTCCCTTCCATGTCTCACACTGAATACTTCGTACAAATCAACTAATAACTACCAAGATTAATTTCGTGTACAAAGATTATCCGTTTTTGCAGACCATTAATGTGACTCAAAAAAATCAATTTTATTTACTAATTTTACAGGACAAATTGAAAAGTTTTTTAATGATTCAATAAACTTTTAATTAAAAACTTCACAAACATTCAATGTTTCATCTTCTCGGGAGCTTTTGGTTCTAGAAAATTGTGTTCGTTGTAATCTAATACTGTAACTACATTATTACTCTATTTGATACTTGATGCTCAACTAGATTTATCACTTAGCCAATTGCATGCGATCAACTATTAGAAAACAAGAATAGTCGAGTTTGCTATGCAAAACTAATCCCAGACCCAAGCGATATTTTAGAAGTACTGGTTGAATCAGCTCATACAATTCTTATTTAATGAATTTTATAAATTTCAAGATTGACGATAATAACAAATTAGAAAATGAATGAATTCAATATTACTAATTGAATTTTGTGTCAATGTATCAACTAGTAATAACCTCTGCTTAGAAATTATGAGACTCGGAATTCGATTTTAATTATCAGGAGAATTAAAATGCATTCTTTTTCTCCAACTCACCCGAATTGTCAGACACACTCTTGGGATTTAATTGCTACAATTTAGAGACTATGGGTCAATATTAGTTAGGTCGAATATCAAAATCGCGATTCAAAATGGTCTAATGGACACAATTTAATTGCTCTAATTATCCTCAACAAATTCTAAAATTTCCGAAATTCTAATATTTTTCAATAGAAAGTTATCAATTTAAATCAGCTGAGTCTCATAATTTCTAAGCACAGGTCATACTATTAATATCAACGGATCCCTTCAAACGGCTCTTTTCGAAGTATTAACAGATGAAGAGGGAACTGTCGGTGTAGCGGCCAATTTCAATCTGGCCCTTTAAGTTGTAAAAATCTACACTAGTAATTAAAGCGCTTCAGTATTTCTAATCACCAATCAACACTAATTGTGTTTCCCTCTCATAACAAGTTTACATTTTCGACCTTTAGATTGTAAATTTTCACATTAATTTGATGATCAATATTCTGATAAATCGGTGATTCTGTCATAAATCCATCAGATCGTTTTAATAATCTAGAGACCACCTTGTTAATAATCATGTTACTTGATTAGCTTAATTGTATCAAATTATCTTCTCTAAAACTTTCGAGTGTCCGATAAAGCATAAAATCAGCATTCTAACTATTTGATTAAGTTTATAATTCGAAAGTAAAAGTTTAGGATTGTTATTATAAATAGTTTCAATTTCGACCTTTAGGTTAAAAAGCTTCACTAGTTGAGGCGCTTCGGTCTTTCAAAAGGTCAAATTGCTTTGTTTTTCTTTGTCTCAGATGATTTAAGTCTTGGTATTGACCCGAAGATATTTCCATTATTGTGAAGATCAACTAGTCAAGAAACACCATGTTGTCGGATTTGAGTGGACCAACTAATGGTTTCGGACTTCGTTTCTTGGAACAATTAAACACCGAAAATTCGAATAAAAATGTCGTTTTCTCACCTTTAAGTGTCATCTTAGCCTATGGAATGTTATTGGAAGGAGCGACTGGCAGAACTGGAGAACAGATCAAAGAGGTTCTCCAATTATCTTCTATTGGTAATCAAAATTCTGAAGTTTCTCAAACCGCTAAAAAGGTAATTATTAAAACTTTGATTCTTTAGTTTACCAACAATACGATTTATTTCTTTGATTACTGATCAATATTTGGTTTCTTTGTTCATATTTTAGCTTCTTGATGAATATGTTATGTAATTATGTGACCGTCCCTCTTTTCTTTACTCTCTTCCCACTTTGCTTGTACTCTTCCAAGCAACTAAGTTGCTTCATCCCTTCACCTTTGTTTGTTACCCTTATTTCCTTATCCGTTTTAAGTAGTATATATTGTGATTGATACAAAACCTCTGTACTCATCTACTCCATAACATTCTAAGACTGTTACCTTACTCAACCTCTGATCTTAGATCAGCTAATCAACTAATTAAATAGTTCAACATCACCCACATTGTGTCTTGTTAGTAATTCTGATTAAGTGTTTGTTGCTATATGATTAATTACCAATAGTAATTATTACTTGTGATTCATTTGTTTATTGTGAAACAGACAACTAAGTTGTCTCATTGGTCAAATAATTATAATCGGTCATTTAATTATATAACATCTGGTGCAGATGCCCTTTTGATCCGCTTCTCGTCTTAAGGAGGGGAGGAATTGAGTCAGTCGATTATTTAATTCCTTCGGTCATCTTTAAGAGCTAAGCTCAGTGCTCATTGTGTAATTACTTCTCAAGGAGAGAAATTAAGTCAGTCGATTATTTAATTCTTTCGGAGCTAAGCTCAGTACTCATTGTGTAATTACTTGTGTTCGATCGAGTAATTAAAATCAATTTTCGTGTCTGATCGTTATTGGTTTTGGTGAACTAAGTTCTGTGTACAAGGCTTAGAGTTAATTTATTGTGTTCGATCAATAAATTATCGTGTTGGTCCTTATTTAAAAGAGTTGGTAATTATTGTGTATGATCAATAAGTTACTTAAATTAGTGATTGATCAGAACTAAGTTCGTTTTCTGGAAAGAACTAAGTTCAATTCGTGAAAAGTCTTGGTTTCAGCTTGTGTTTGATCAAGCTGACGGTTGGTAAAAATGGAAAGAGAGTCAAATAAAGAAAACCCTGATGCATTGTTGGCTTCTAGCAAATTAGACTTGTTACTAAGTAACAATGGTTCTTCTGGTACTAGTGGTGGAATGCGACTCAGGACAAATTTGAAAGAAGCTGGTTCCAATTCAACAACAGACCTGATGAGAATACTGAACTCAGTTCAGGAGAGTTTAAGGAAATTGGAAGAGAAAATTGATAAAACTGATGCAAGTACGAAATCTTGTTTAAGTGGGATGGCCACACGGCTATCAGCGATTGAAATTAATCAACTAAATTCAACAATGTTAGAAAACACAAGGACGAATATAAATCCCGTCAATTCTGGAAGAGCCAGTGAAGAGAGCCGAGTTAATACAAATTCTCAGAATTTGATCAATAGATGTGATCAATCTATTTTGGAAACTTTCACACAAGGCTCAACTAAGTTGAGTATCGATGGATTCCCAATGTTTAATGGTGATCCTGGTGAAGCGGCAAAATGGCTGAGTGAATTTGAATTTGAAGCAGCTCTGAATGGTTGGAAAGACGAAGATTTGATTCGTGCCGTGGGTAAATGTCTAAAAGAAGATGCGAAAAAATGGTTCATGTATGTGTACCTGCCAAAGTTGAAACCTGGAGGTCATTCGTGGGCACACTTCTTAGAAGTGTTTAAAAAGACTTATATAAGAGAAGTCGATAAAATTGGATTATATTCTAGGATTCTTGCAAGAGAGCAAGGATATAATGAAAGGATTTCAAACTATTATCATGATATGTTGGCAATGTGCAAAGAGTACCATGGAAATCTGCCTGAAGATTTGGTAATAACTCATGTTCTTAGAGGATTGAAGGAAATAAATCGAGTCCCTATTCAATCAGCTTTAAGAAATGATCGATCGTTGGAAAGATTGGCCCATCATATTCAATTGATCAGTGAAAGCGAAATGATCGATAACCGAGACGAACCGGGTGAAATTGATGCTGAAGTTACTTCACAAACTGGATCGAACCATGAACGTGACAAACTAAGTTTGGATAATCAAGAAAGGTTTATAACGTCAAGTAACTTGGATGGCAGAATAGAACTAAGTTCGGAATTCTGATTTTCTACTGAATAATAGCAAAACTTGGTTTTAGTTGTTGCTTCATTTTGATTTTGACTTCTTTATTTTAAAGATAATGTAGCAGCACATGTTGTAGGTGCTGAGAATATTTTGCGGATTCTACATTGAAAGAGAGTAATGCGATTTAAGACAGGGAGGATGTTATGTAATTATGTGACCGTCCCTCTTTTCTTTACTCTCTTCCCACTTTGCTTGTACTCTTCCAAGCAACTAAGTTGCTTCATCCCTTCACCTTTGTTTGTTACCCTTATTTCCTTATCCGTTTTAAGTAGTATATATTGTGATTGATACAAAACCTCTGTACTCATCTACTCCATAACATTCTAAGACTGTTACCTTACTCAACCTCTGATCTTAGATCAGCTAATCAACTAATTAAATAGTTCAACATCACCCACATTGTGTCTTGTTAGTAATTCTGATTAAGTGTTTGTTGCTATATGATTAATAACCAATAGTAATTATTACTTGTGATTCATTTGTTTATTGTGAAACAGACAACTAAGTTGTCTCATTGGTCAAATAATTATAATCGGTCATTTAATTATATAACAAATATAAATCGATTGCTGAAGGTTCGAGTGATCGCAACTTCTCATTAATTTTAAACAATTTGATAATGGTTCATAAAAATTATACCTTAAAAGAAGCGTTTGTCCAAAGCTTATTGAAAAATTATTTCGCTAAAGTGACGAATGAAGATTTTCAAAAAGGAGCCGAAGTCATGAATAACGTTAACTTGTGGGTCTCCAAGCAGACTTTTGGCAAAATCGATAAAATCTTGACTGAACCCACAAATCCTGACATGATATGCATTATTATAAACACCGTTTATTTCAAAGGGAAATGGCGCAAATCGTTCAAATCAAGTTTAACATTTGATGAAACTTTCACTAATTCTGATGGAACTAAAAGTAAGATTGAAATGATGTCCCTTTGTGGTAAAAAATGCGAATACCTTCACAATCCAGTGGCCAGATTCAAGGTAAAGTAAATCGAACTGAAATTAATAGTTGATGTCTACGGCTTGAGTTAATATTCATTGGGTTAAAAACAATAACAAGTAACTTGCTCGTCTTTCTTCAATTTCAGGTTATTGAGCTTCGGTATATTGGAAAGGTCAGTATGATCTTCATTCTACCCACTGAATCCAACACTCTGCCCAATTTACTTCCTACATTGAATTCAATTGGATTAGAAACTCTTTTGAATTCTATGAGCCGAACGAAGCTTCGTGCTGTTAAGATTCCGAAATTTAAACTTGAAGATACCCACAAGTTACATGAGATTCTCCCTCGAATGGGAATGGACTTGCCTTTCAGTGGACGAGCAGAATTTAAAAACATCACTGAAGAATCTGATTTATTTGTATCCGAATCAATTCAAAAGGCTTTTATCGAAGTCAATGAAGAGGGAACTGTCGCTGCAGCGGTGACAAAAATTAGTTGCGCAATGGGCGGTATGAGAACTTCTCGAGCGAAAGAAGATTTCATTCTCGATCGACCTTTTATATTCATGATTCGCGACAAACGAACAGGAATTAACCTCTTTATCGGTCAAATGAATCAAATGCCTGATCTTAATTAATCTCTGTGTTTATCATTTATATCACTTTCGTTGGAATAAATTTTTTATCTATCGACTAACCTTGGGGATAAATTATGAGACTTTCGAGTTTCAGTTTTTTATGTCCAAAAAGTTAACTAATGGATTTTAAGTTCAAAGTCTCATAATTTATCCCCACTGGTTAATACGGAGAGAAAACTATTATCTCGATACAATCAGATCAAAAAAAAACAGCAAATGGAAAACAATTTAATCACCGGTCAGATGAACAAAATACGCAGTCTAAATTAGTCCCTTCCATGTCTCTCCCTGAACACTTCTTACCAATCAACTAATAACTACCAAGATTATTTTCATGTATAAAGATTATCCGTTCTTTTGTAAGAAGTTAATTAAATTATATTCTTTGTACTCATTTATCACAGATTGAATAATTAACAAGGTTTTTAATGATTAGCTAAAACTATTGCTAATTTTTGATCATCGAAAATGAAATGTTGCTGTATTTGAATTCACTCATTTATCACTTGAATACAATCAATTGTTGAAAAACAATAATGTTGATTGATCAATAATTCTCGATGAAAAGCTTGTCAAGAATGTCAATCGTTACAATGAGCTATTTAGAAAGCGCCTTAGGGCTGCTCATCGCTCTTTGATTTGAAATAATTGAAAACTCGAAATTGTCACATCACATTTAAATTTCCCACATCAAATTGTAAAATCTAATGAAGCGCTTCAGTCTTTCTAATCACCAATCAAAAGTTTTGATCCAAAACTAATTCTGTAACAGAATTTCTGTTTCCCTCTCTTATAGAATTTACATCTTCGACCTTTTGATTCACACAAGTCTGTACATTGTATTGAAGTGACTATTGAGCCTGATTTTGTCGATATTTCTTAGTAAAATTCAATCAAAAGTTTAAACCGTTAACAGACATCATGTTGTCAGAATTAAGTGGACCTACTAATGGTTTTGGACTTCGTTTCTTGGAACAATTAAACATCAGTGATTCGAATAGAAATGTCGTTTTCTCTCCTTTAAGTGTCATCTTAGCCTATGGAATGTTATTGGAAGGAGCGACTGGTACAACTAGAGAACAGATCAAAGAGGTTCTCCAATTATCTTCTGCAATTTCTCAAGCCGCGAAAAAGGTAATTACATTAATAAATCTAATCAATTCTTTTGTTTATCAATAATTTGGTTTATTTCTTTTTTTACTGATCAATGTTTTTATTTTAGCTCCTTTATGAATATAAATCGATTGCCGATGGTACGAGTGATCGTAACTTCTCGTTGTTTTATGGCAATTTGTTGATGGTCAATAAAGATTATCCATTAAAAGAAGCGTTTGTTCAAAGCTTAACGACCAATTATTTCGTTCAAGTGACAAATGAAGATTTTCAGAATGGAAAGGCAATTATGATCAAGCTAAACTCGTGGGTCTCCGAAAAGACATGTGGAAAAATCGATAAAATCTTATCCAGATCCCCGAATCCAGAAATGTTATTATTGGTCATTAACACTCTTTATTTCAAAGGAAAATGGGCAAAACCATTCAATAAAAAGTACACATTTGATGAGACTTTCGCTAATTCTGATGGATCAAAAAGTAAAATTAAAATGATGTCCCTTCCTAATACATATCGTAAATATCTTCACAATCGCTCAGCCAAATTCAAGGTAAGTAAAGAGAATCAACTCTTGTCAATTCAATTCAATAATGTCGACCAATTTTCTAATTCTAGATTGTTGAGCTTCCATACAACGGGGATGTTAGTATGATCTTCATTTTACCAACCAAATCCAATACTCTGTCCAATTTGATCTCTACTTTACATCCTACGGAATTAGAAAATCTTCTGAATTCTATGTGTCTGACATTTCTCAAGTTGGTTAATATTCCTAAATTTAAGCTTCAAGATTTTCACGATTTAGATAAGATTCTTTCACGAATGGGAATGGAACTGCCATTTACTGAACAAGCAGAATTTAAAAATATCACTGAAGAATCTGATTTATTGTTTGTATCCGAATCCCTTCAAACTGCTCTCATCGAAGTAGATGAAGAGGGAACTGTCGCTGTAGCGAACACTCGTATTAAGATGACGGGTGGAGCTGGTCCAAAGTTTTATGAAGATTTCATTCTCGACCGACCTTTCATTTTCATGATTCGTGACAATTTAACTAGAGTCAATCTCTTTGTCGGTCAAATGAACAATATGCGCGATCTAAATTAGTCCCTTCCATGTCTCTCCCTGAACACTTCTTACCAATCAACTAATAACTACCAAGATTATTTTCATTAAGATCATATTCAATTTATATTCTCTGTACTCATTTTTCATAAATTGAATAATTAGCTAGATTACTAATGATTCAATAAAACTATTGCTAATTTTTGATCAACTATTAATATTCAAATTCACCCATTTATCGCTTGAATAATTTAATTCTCATGTTGACTTATGAGAGTAAGCATCGCTTCTTGTTGATAGAAATAGAAGAAGATTTTTGTAATATAAATAATAAGCAAATTATCGAGATTTTTTTCCGATTTCACAATTTTTCCCTTGAAGTGAAAATCTACACTAGTAATTAAAGCACTTCGGTCTTTCTAATCACCAAGCAACATGAATTGTATCTATCATAAGAAGATTATATTTTCGATCTTTTGATTTCACTTTAAATTGAGAATTGAACTTTCACATTAAGTTGCTGTAAATTTCGAACAAAATTGTATTAGACTGATGATTCTGTTGTCAATTGATAAAATTGTTTCAATGATCTAGAGACCATCTTATTAATAAACATCATGTTATCAGAATTAAGTGGGCCAACTAATGGTTTTGGATCTTGGTTGGTCTAATTGTATAAACTTACATGTATCTTCTCTAAAACCCTCGAATGTCCGATAAAGCATAAAATCAGCATTTACATTATGTGAGTGAATTGTTTAACAATTGTTGCAATTGAATTTGTAATCATATAAAAAAAATAAATAGTAAAATAGTGATTAATGACGGTACAACTGAGATCAACAAGATCAGACAAGATGCCTTGAGAAGTGAATTGAAACACTTGATGATGAAAGAAAAGTTGGAACAAGAGAAATTATCACAATCGATTGATGAGATTCGAGATTTGGTTCGTAAAGAGATCAATTCGATGGACAAATCAATTCGGAAACAAGATGAACAATTTACCAAGAGTCAAGCAACAATCAACGACGATATGAATCAAACCAAATCAGTTTTACACTATTTAACTAAAGAATTGGATTCGATCAAACAATCAATCGATGAGAAGAAAATTATTGAAGGTAAAGAAAGTGAATTAACTGGATCCAATGCTGCCATAGAAGAGAAACTTAATCTCGAGTTGCTCACCTTAATAAAATAGTTCATCATCTTCAGAAGATGAAGGAAATCGTGATAAATCAAATTCTAAGTCTCGAAATAAACACCTACCTCATCATAATGGAGCATCATCAATCTAAGATCAGCTTTGATTCCGGACTAAATCGACATCGCAATTACATAAATATCTAGCCAGCCGATGGAAAAACCTCATCGCATGAAAAGTTCGTCTGCGTCTTTATTGGCTATGATCCGTCGAACTAGTAAGATTATTACAAGACGAAGCTTCCGATCTCAATGGTCTTGGTAATTATCGATTTGTCTCCGACATTTCCAATGGCCTCATGTCCCGAAACGACTTGGATGCCGATGAAAGTGCCATTAGGAAACTCAAGCAAATTCGATGTGATATCGATGAGAAATTAAAAAGGCTCAATGCTTTGGTCAATTCCACTAATGGCGAAGATAAAGAGATGACAGCGAAAAATTAAATCGCCGATCAAGTTGATAAATGCTAAAAATGATTCTCAATCTGTATCAAAAACCATTTTGAGTGTTTATTTACACTTTACATTGTGTAAATGGACCAAAAGTAAAGTACCTAAAATTTTCCACTTTTTGTGCGGGTTATTCGTAGGGCGGTTGATTTGAAATGGGTGTAAATTAATCAACTTCAATGCACGTGAGTCGAAATTCTAGTTTCAAATATGATTGTAAAATATCTATTTGTATAAAAAAATACTGGAAAATGTGATTAATGAGCAAACTAAAGGGTGTTAAGTTTATAATTCGAAAGTAAAAAGTTTAATTTCAATTTCGATATTTAGGTTAAAAAAGCTTCACTAGTTGAGGCGCTTCGGTCTTTCTAAAGGTCAAATTGCTTTGTTTTTCTTTATCTCAGATGATTTGAGTCTTGGTATTGACCTGGAGATATTGTCGTTGTTTTGAAGATCAACTAGTTAAGAAACATCATGTTGTCGAAATTAAGTGGACCAACTAATGGTTTTGGACTTCGTTTCTTGGAAAAATTACACACCAGTGATTCGAATAGAAATGTCGTTTTCTCTCCTTTAAGTGTCATCTTAGCCTATGGAATGTTATTGGAAGGAGCGACTGGTAGAACCAGAGAACAGATCAAAGAGGTTCTCCAATTATCTTCTATTGGTGATCAAAATTCTGAAATTTCTCAAGCCGCGAAAAAGGTAAACACTTTGATTAACTCATTTACTCTTTTACTTATTGCAAATACGATTACTTTTCTTTGTTTTATTTTAGCTTCTCGATGAATACAAATCAATTTCAAAGAGTTATGCTGACCGTCTCTTCTCATTGATTTTAGGCAATTTGCTGTTAGTCAACAAAGATTATTCTTTAAAAGAAGCGTTTGTCAAAAGCTTATCGAGAAATTATTTCGCTAAAGCGACAAATGAAGATTTTCAAAAAGGAGTCGAAGTCATGAATAAGGTGAACTTGTGGGTCGACATAAAGACCTTTGGAAAAATCGATAAAATCTTATTCGAACCCCTGGATCCAGACATTTTATGCATTATTATAAACACCGTGTATTTCAAAGGGAAATGGCGCAAACCGTTTGAAAGAAGTGAAACATTCGATGCAGCTTTTACTAATTCTGATGGAACTAAAAGCAAAATTGAAATGATGTCCCTTGTCGGTATAAAATTTAAATATCTGCACAATTCTATAGCCAAATTTAAGGTAAATTAATTGAACTCTCATGCGTATGATCCATTTTATTATCAAGTATTGATAGTTCATGTCTACGGCTTGAGTTATCGTTTAATATTCAATAATTGGATTAAAACAATAACAAGTTACTTGCTCGTCTTTCTTCAATTACAGGTTATTGAGCTTCGGTATATTGGAAAGATCAGTATGATCTTCATTCTACCCACTGAATCCAACACTTTGTCCAATTTAATTCCTACTTTGAACCCAACGGAATTAGAAAATCTTTTGAATTCTATGAGCCGAACGAAGCTTCGTGCTGTTAAGATTCCGAAATTTAAACTTGAAGATACCCACAAGTTACATGAGATTCTCCCTCGAATGGGAATGGACTTGCCTTTCAGTGGACGAGCAGAATTTCAAAATATCACTGAAGAGTCTAATTTATTATTCGTATCCGAATCAATTCAAAAGGCTTTTATCGAAGTCAATGAAGAGGGAACTGTCGCTGCAGCGGTGACACACATTGACAGCAGATTGTGTGAATCGAGAACTTCTCGAGCGAAAGAAGATTTCATTCTCGATCGACCTTTTATATTCATGATTCGCGACAAACGAACAGGAATTAACCTCTTTATCGGTCAGATGAATAAAATGCCTGATCTTAATTAATCTTTGTGTGAATCATTTATATCAATTTCATTTGAATAAGTTTATATGGATAATCTATCAACTAATAACAATCAAGGTGAATTCAACTTGCAATAAATAACAACACGAATTGGTTGATTTGATTGGACAGCAAGCTAATTTTAGAAAATTGTCTGATCAATTGAGAAAAGAAATAACTAATTTGCGAGATGAATTGTTTATCAATCGTAAATCAGATGATTTAGCCAAAAAGACGGTTGAAAGATTGGATGGAGTGGAAAGGAGATTATCTCAGTCTGAGAAAACTATTAACTCGATACAATCAGACCAAAAGAAACAGCAAATGGAAAACAATTTAATCACCACTAATCGTCATGGATCCGATTGTACAACTGAGATCAACAAGATTAGACAAGAAGTTAATTCGGTGAACAGTAAAGTGGATCAAGTTCTGGAAGATTGTAAACAATTGGTGAACAAAGAAAGTGACCTGGTGAAGAAAAACTTGAGCGATATTAAAGATGATGAAGATCAAGATGCCTTGAGAAGTGAATTGAAACACTTGATGATGAAAGAAAAGTTGGTACAAGAGAAATTATCACAATCGATTGATGAGATTCGAGATTTGGTTCGTAAAGAGATCAATTCGATGGACAAATCAATTCGGAAACAAGATGAACAATTTACCAAGAGTCAAGCAACAATCAACGACGATATGAATCAAACCAAATCAGTTTTACACTATTTAACTAAAGAATTGGATTCGATCAAACAATCAATCGATGAGAAGAAAATTATTGAAGGTAAAGAAAGTGAATTAACTGGATCCAATGCTGCCATAGAAGAGAAACTTAATCAATTGGAGAGCAATTTAACAACAATTAACGGTAAACTTGAAGCAATTCGAGTTTCGAGAGAAAGAGAGAGAAAGATGAGAATGAGATCAAATAATCACAATTACAATCGATCGAGAAAATTAATCTCGAGTTGCTCATCTTACGAAAATAGTTCATCATCTTCGGAAGATAAAGGAAATCAAATTCTAAGACTCTAAGTAAACATCAACCTCATCATAATGGAGCATCATCAATCTAAGATCAGCTTTGATTCCGGACTAAATCGACATCGCAATTACATAAATATCTAGCCAGCCGATGGAAAAACCTCATCGCATGAAAAGTTCGTCTGCGTCTTTATTGGCTATGATCCGTCGAACTAGTAAGATTATTACAAGACGAAGCTTCCGATCTCAATGGTCTTGGTAATTATCGATTTGTCTCCGACATCTCCAATGGCCTCATGTCCCGAAACGACTTGGATGCCAATGAAAGTGCCATTAGGAAACTCAAGCAAATACGATGTGATATCGATGAGAAATTAAAAGACTCAATTCAACTAATGACGAAGATAAAGAAATGACAGCGAAAAATTAAATCGCCGATCAAGTTAAATACTAAAAATGATTTTTAATCTCTATCAAAAACCATTTTGAGTGTTTATTTACACTTTACATTGTGTAAATGGACCAACAGTCAAGTACCGGAAAATTTCCACTTTTTGTGCTCGACATTCGTAGGTTGATTTGAAATGGGTGTAAATTAATCAACTTCAATGCACGTGAGTCGAAATTCTAGTTTCAAATATGATTGTAAAATATCTATTTGTATAAAAAAATACTGGAAAATGTGATTAATGAGCAAACTAAAGGGTGTTAAGTTTATAATTCGAAAGTAAAAAGTTTAATTTCAATTTCGATATTTAGGTTAAAAAAGCTTCACTAGTTGAGGCGCTTCGGTCTTTCTAAAGGTCAAATTGCTTTGTTTTTCTTTATCTCAGATGATTTGAGTCTTGGTATTGACCTGGAGATATTGTCGTTGTTTTGAAGATCAACTAGTTAAGAAACATCATGTTGTCGGATTTGAGTGGACCAACTAATGGTTTTGGACTTCGTTTCTTGGAAAATTACACCAGTGATTCGAATAGAAATGTCGTGGATCATCTATCAACTAATAACAACCAAGATGAATTCAACGAATTGATTGATTTGATTGGACAGCAAGCTAAGGGGCACACAAAATCTGCCCATGAAAAAATTTTTGTGAATTTTTCTGAGACAACTTTTATGTTGATTTCAAAATGTTAAAATTTTCTGATCAGACATCAAATACAAAAAACACTGAAAATGTAATTAAGCGTAACTAGTGATGATTGTCAATTGCAAAAGTTAAAAGCTGGATTTTGTTGAAAATAATAAACAATTATTTTTTAATGGGTTGTAAAGTACAATATTTACATAAAAGACTATTGATAGTCATTTGAGAAGTTCCTCCTCCGCATTTAAAGGCTGGGAAATACTTTTCAGCCATTGATTCCTTCTGATTGCACTTTCTTGGGCTTTAGAAGAAGCATTTATAGCTTTCTCTTTAGCCTCTCGTGCCTCCCCGTTTCTTTATTATGATTAGCGGTTGCTTCTGAAACCATCTCTATGGGTTTAGCCATATCTCTTGTGGCTCGGTTTTCTCCTTCCTGGCCTTTTTCCCGCTTTTTTGCTATATATGGATCAACTAATCCTTTCTCTTTCATTTCGCTGCGACTTCGGCTGTTCAAGTTTTGCTCTCTGTCTAGCATTTTGCGCCACTGCTTAGCCATTGTAAAATGAAGAAATCGATATTATTTCTGAGAAAAGAAATAACTAATTTGCGAGATGAATTGTTTACAGTTATCAATCGTAAATCAGATGATTTAGCCAAAAAGACGGTTGAAAGATTGGATGGAGTGGAAAGGAGATTATCTCAGTCTGAGAAAACTATTAACTCGATACAATCAGACCAAAAGAAACAGCAAATGGAAAACAATTTAATCACCACTAATCGTCATGGATCCGATTGTACAACTGAGATTAACAAGATTAGACAAGAAGTTAATTCGGTAAACAGTAAAGTGGATCAAGTTATGGAAGATTGTAAACAATTGGTGAACAAAGAAAGTGACCTGGTGAAGAAAAACTTGAGCGATATTAAAGATGAGTTCGAAATGACCATGGAACAGTTCAGGGATTTCAAAAGGACAATGATCTAACAATTAAAGCTCAGGAAACAATTGACTGAAGTTTCCACAAGTCAAGATAATTTGGAAAGTTTGACTTCGAAGACCCAAAGTGACCTGCACCGATTATCTCGAGATGTGAACAGTTTCCGTCAGGACGATGATGAAGATCAAGATGCCTTAAGAAGTGAACTGAAACACTTGATGATGAAAGAAAAGTTGGAACAAGAAAAATTATCACAATCGATTGATGAGATTCGAGATTTGGTTCGTAAAGAGATCAATTCGATGGACAAATCAATTAGGAAACAAGATGAACAATTTACCAAAAGTCAAGCAACAATCAACGACGATATGAATCAAACCAAATCAGTTTTACACTATTTAACTAAAGAATTGGATTCAATCAAACAATCAATCGATGAGAAGAAAATTATTGAAGGTAAAGAAAGTGAATTAACTGCATCCAATGCTACCAATCACAGTAGATAAACTTAATCAACTAAAGCAATTTCATTAATCACAATTCGTTAAATGATCTTTCGGTTAATTGCTTCTCTTCGCCATCTATTGGTGCTTTTCACAACTAAATTCGTTTTACTGAGTTTGCGCAAACCGAATTTTCTTTGAGTAAAGTCACGTGATCCGAAATCTATCAGAAAACATTTTCATTGATGAGAATCTTAATTTTGTACTAATTGTCAAGAAAACGTGTTAATCATCGTCTCCTAATTTCAGTTTTCCATCTCAATTGTAACCTGTGCTCTATAGTTAATTTTCCTCGACTGAACTATCATTTAGGCAAAATGGCCAGAGGACAACAGAAAATTCAATCTCAACAAAAGCTGCTGCCAGAGCCCAAGCAGCGAAACGTCAACAAGGACATGACCAGAAAAGTGCTGCTGCCAAAGCGCTTGTATTTACATGTACAGTTTGTAAGGTAATTTCTGATTGATTGCAGCTAATTTGCCGATGGTCGATCGATTCTTTAGTCGAGTTAATTTCAGGTGACATTTTGCTCTCATGTATTATTTGGAACAAGTTTCTCAGGATCATAGAGCTTATCCATTTTCATGTGGTCTCTTCTGTTCCCATGGTTTTGTTTTTATTTACTGTTTAGATAATTTTCAGAGAAAAGTCATGATTATAATTCTTGGTTTCGATTAATTTTGTTCCATCTTTGTTGACTTCTGATATTGTTTACCTCAAATTTTCAAGGTTACATTGTCTTTCAATCGCACTCGTTGTTATGATGAAGCTGTTATTCACTCCTACCAATCAATCAATCCAACTTTATGCTTGATTGTTATTAGCTGATTTTATCACAAGTAATTCTAATTGATTTATTTGGAAAACCAATGAATAGAATCTCAACAATTACAGTGAGAATTCATCTCCGTTTAAGGAAAAGCTTTTTTAGCTTATATTTACACTTCCGTCAGGTCTCAGCTGAGATAATTTCACTCTTTTTGTTTAATTCAACTGTTTAATTAAAGCTAAATTAGTGTCTTGTCATAGCTTCAACAAAGCAAATAGGTTATGAAACGAAATAGATCAACTTTTATAAATAACTTGTTCTTTTTACCTTTAAATCCTTGACATTATTTCAAATCAATACTTGAGGTTATGTGTTAACCTGTAAACTGGTTAAAGGTTTAGTTTTATCCGAAATTTAAAAATAATCAACTAATTGTGTAACCATTTCTATCTCCCAATAGGCACAAATGCCCGATCCTAAGACTTACAAGCAACACTTTGAAAACAAACATCCAAAATCACCAATGCCTGCGGAACTTCAAGACGTCGCAAGTTAACCGAGTCCTCGAACTTTTAATTTCCGGTCAACCTCAAAAGGAATCTTTCCAAACTGATGGGCCATTTATTGTATAAGCTTGTTTAAAATTGAAACGATTATTACCCAAAATTTCCCGATAACAAAAAACTGTTCAATTAGAAAAATTGTTCTGCTGAGACTATTCAATTACAACTAAAAACGAATTTAATAAATTCAATTGAATCTTAAAAAAAGGAAAAAAAATCCACTACTGTTTCTATCAATACGACTATTTGACTTACGAATTTGGTTTCCAGGAGAAAAAGAAAATTACTTAAATTCTATTGACTTAAAATTGAGTCGAATCTTAATTGTTATCAGTCCATCTTAATTCTTAATTTCATTATTTCATTTCCATCATCACAAAGAGACTTCATGTTAATGATTTAGGTGAACAATCAACAGCAATAACCGTAAGTTCAAAGTTGTTATTCTTTGAATATATTTTATTGTGCCGATTCTTATTTGGAGATAATCTCTTCAAGAATTTAAATATTGAATATTCACGATGTTAAAATTTCGTTGAACAATCTAAGAACTGATCTTACAATTCTTATTTGTTTCTTTTTCTAGTCCAACTCATTACGTTTCTCTTATTGATTTTTCTTCTCTTCTCTTCTTATCAGATTCTTATTCTCATAGCGAAAAACTTGATGGTCGAATCGTTGATTATAAAATCTGGTCAATTGGCTCCTTCAAATTTCATTCCAATTACAATTTTAAGGTCACAAATACAATTCATAGGATTCGACAACTTTTGAGAGTTTCTATCTCTTCATGGATTAAACTCTCTCTCACTGTTTTCACCATAGATTTTGATTTCAACATTCATTGTATCGCTCTTGAATTGCCCGTTTCTTGGATATTACCAAATTGACCTTCCCTAATTAACGATCATTGATTAAACAATCAGATCACTTTGAAACTTATACAAGTCATTTGAATATTTCGACGCGGAAACTGGAACATATATCAATAAACTATAAATAAGCATTTTATTATTATCATTTAGGCTTCTAATGTCTACTAATTTCTGTTACAATTTAATTTATTGGTGTCGTGTGATTTACGAGGAAACAAATTTATAAGCAAATCCTTTACCCAACAATTGGTTGGTTTTTGATTTGATCAAATAAATTTTACCAGAATCGGGTTCAGATTGAGATTGAGATGATGTTACGTATATTTTATCGAGGTTTGGTCCACCAAAGGTCAATGAAGTTACCTTGCTGGCTGGAACTCTAATCGATGATTCAACTCTGGACGTTTTCGGGTTAATCTTGACCAATCGACCTCCGCCATAAAGAGCAGTCCAAATGTAGTCATTGGCATCGACCATCAGACCATCAGGATATTCATTGGACACAAAATCAGTGTGATTTTTAAGATCAACGAAAATCCTTTTATTGGTCAATGTTCCTGATTCTGAATTGTAATCAAAGATATAAATCTTCTGGTCTTCGGAGTCATTAAAGTAAAAACTTGTTCCATTGACTGACCAGTCCATTCCATTGGAAAGTGTAAAACCTGAGGCCACTTTGATCAAGCGATTACCATCAAGTCGATAAATTGACCCACCACCTTTAACCAATGGCGATGCTGCATCAGTAGATTCAACCACTGAGCCGATAAACAGTCGACCCGCTGAATCGCATGCACCATCATTGAATCTCTCATCTCCAGCAGGGTGAACACCCAAAGATGATAAGGTCTGGACATTTCTGGTCTTCCAATTATACTTGGCGACTGACGATCTCACCGTTACAATGAAACTCGACTCATCTTCTGAAAATGGAATCACCAAAGAAACGAGTTTATTTCCAAGAACATGAACATCTTCCGGTGTTCCATTCAGAGATGAATGGACTATCGTTCCTTTGAATGCATCAACATAATAAAGAGAGTCACTGGTTGGTTCATAAAAAGGTCCTTCGCCTAAATCGTTAATCCGATTAGAAACAATTGAAACATTGTAATCACTTTGATCGTTCATTTGGATCGATTTACATTGAAAGTATTGAAAACATAAGAAAAAAATAACAATGGAAATAAAATTAACTTTCATCAAGAACATTTTTCTCTCAGTAATTATTAATTATTAAATTTATCAGATGCAAAACTATGATAATTAACCGAATTGATTAGATATCGATTTCTCTCTTTATCAACTTCACCGTCAAGAGGAATTTGAAAACTAATCATTTGGATTTTATTATTTTATGAGATTCACTGAACTTTAATCAAGTTTCAAACTGGACACAAGTCAATGACCGATCAACCGATTACACTTTTCATCTCAACATGATATCGGTAAAGCTCAAGATATGAGCGTAAGCTCAACTTTTCTACTTTTAGCTGACTTTTTTGGCTTACGATTTGCGGCTTTTTAGGAAAATGATTTAATTTAATTGATTAACAATTAATTCGACAATCAAAAATTTGACTCCTCGAGAGCACATGTTAGTCGACCTTCAACAATGAAATAAAAGTAAACGGGGCTGATTAGCTGTCGAAAGCTAACATTACATTAATTGTCTCAATTAAAAGAGTTTATTTATTTTTCCTAAATCAAACAATCAAACAAAACCAAGTCAATTATATTCACTTTCATCGGGTATAAGTTATCCGAGTGAATAGATTGGAGAGTAGAAAGTAAATGAATGAATATTAGAAATCTTCTTCTGCTTTTAAAACCCTCTTTTCGACGAAATATTTGAACTTCTCCGCTAAATCATCCACTTTTATCTCACCACGAACGACATTATCTCTTGTACGAACGTTCACTGAATCGTTTTCCTTTTCTTTTTCTCCAACAACCAAGATGAAATTGAATCTGTCGAGTTGAGCATTTCGAATTTTCTTATTTAAACTCAGTCCAGGATCAGCTCCAATTTCAACTTCGAAACCCGCTGCATACAATTTAGAGCGAACTGCCTCAGCATATTCAATGAAAGGTTCGGCTACAGGAATGAGAATAGCTTGTTTAGGAGATAACCAGAAAGGCCATTTACCACCGAAATTCTCGGCTAAGATTGCTAAGAAGCGTTCAACAGATCCGAAGATGGCTCGATGAATAATGACCGGCTTGTGTTTTTCACCATCCGGTCCAATGTAACTCAAATTGAATCGAATTGGTAACTGAAAATCCAACTGGATTGTGGCGCATTGATATGATCTTTTAAGAGCATCTTTCACAGTTATATCGATTTTAGGTCCATAGAAAGCACCATCGCCGGGATTGAGTCCCCATTTGTGTCCACTAGCATTCAAAGCGTTCGTTAAAGCTTCTTCGGCACTATTCCAAATTTCAATCTCACCGATGTAGGAATCTGGTCGAGTGGACAGAACCATTTCGAAAGTGAACCCAAGAGTAGTGTAAACATCTTGCATGAATTGTAAAGCTTTCACAATCTCTTCTTCAATTTGATTATGAGAACAGAAGATGTGAGCATCATCTTGTTGAATCGACGGACTCGCGTTAACCCGGAAGAGCACCAGAGACTTCATTTCGATGGAGAACACCGAAATCAGCGAATTTGATTGGTAATTCTTTCCAAGATCGGGTACGCGAATCGAAGATGAGACAATGACCTGGACAATTCATTGGTTTAAGAGCATATTTTTCTTCGTCAAGGTCGAAAACAAACATATTATCTTTGTAATGTTGCCAATGGCCCGAAGTCTCCCAGAGTTTAGTGTTATAAATATTTGGTGAAATAACTTCTTTGAATCCTCTTCCACGATACTCTTTTCGAATGAAATTTATAAGTGTATTGTAAATATGAGCACCATAGGGTGAGAAGAAAGCTGTTCCTCTGCTGAATTCATGGAAGAAGAATAAATCTTGATCTTTTCCAATTTTTCTATGGTCACGTTTAGCTGCTTCTTCTTGAAATCTTTCCCATTCTTTCATTTGCTTGGTATCTGGAAAAGATATACCATAGACCCTTTGCAATGGCTCTCGCGAAACATCACCTTCCCAATGAGTGGATGAACTCTAAGGACAAACGATAAAATAGAATCGATAGAGATCATAAGTTTCCTGGAAGAAAAGATCTAAAAAATACTCACTTTGGTTACTTTAAGAGCCTTAATGAGACCAGTGTGTTTGATATGTGGACCCAAACACAAATCGATCAAAGAGCCACATCGATAAACTGATGTTCGATCTTCTTTCACTTTTTCATTTAGAATTCGGACTTTGAATTGATTATAAGAGAACATTTCTAAAAGCTGATCCTTCGTTAGTTCGAGTCTTTCAAACGGTTGTTTCTCATTACAAATGGTTTTCATTAGATTCTCAATCTGAGGGAAATGATGAAGAGAAACAGTAGACAGATTATCATCTGAGGTTTTAGTTTCTGCGTCACCAGAGTTTCCACACGAAGTACATGATTTGTGCATCATGTACATATCGTAATAAAAACCATTCTCAATGGGTGGACCATAACATAAATGACTTCCGTACAGTCTCTCCAACGCTTCTCCCAAAACATGAGCCGTCGAATGCCAGAAAACCGCTCTACCTAAATAGTTGAAAGAGAAAATTTGATAACACGTTCACTATTTAGCAAGAAGTATTCTGATTACATACCTTGATCGTCATCAAATTTCACCAATTCAATAGAACAATCATTTTCCAATGGCCTTTCAAGATCCCACAATTTACCATTTACCTTTGAGATGATTATACTTTCAACCCATGATTTAGATCCAATTTTTTTGGCGACATCCATTACAGTGGTTTTCCAACTCTCCAAATCATCCAATTGTTTAACTTTTCCATCTTTATCGGTAACAGAGATTTTGATTGGCTTCGGTTCTTTGGTGGCCAATTCAGCTTCATAATCGGCTTTAAACTTATCCCACAATTTAATTCTATGGTCAAGAAATTCCGGTAACGGTGATAACTCCTTCAATGGAGATTTAACCTGAGTGGCACCCGAAGCATCACCAACAGTCATCTTGTTAATTAGATAAGACGAAGAAACAGAATAAGTTGATTTCAATCGATTGAGAATTAATTTGACTACAACTATTTTCACATTTAACCGGATCTTGTTCATCTCCCATTGAACAATCATATGGCCGATTCTCCATGTTGTCCGAACGAACTGTCATCTGGTGGCCAATCGAGCAAAGAGAAGAAAAGAATCAAAAGTCGCGCTTCAAGTGGAAGAACATAAGAAGAAACCAAATAATCTGGTAGGTGGAGTTACAAGTGGCAACGGAGATTCGGTCACTTGGAAGCTTCAACTGAGTTAGAAGGTTTCATGATAAATTCATTGGTGTTTTCAATTGTTCTCAATATTTGTTACATTAAATTACTAATTTATTATTGATTTATTCCTGTGAACAAGTTGAGATAATAATTCTCTTTGTTTGTGTTGACCATTAGATTGAAGGAGAAGATTAAAAAAGAAAACAGATTGTCCATTTTTCCAATTTGTTTTTCTTTAAGTGGACCTTCATCTTCATCTTCATCTTCAAAACCTTTGTTTCATCTTCTCCTCAATTTCTGTTTTCATCTTTATTCTCGCTATTTCATCGACATCACATCTACCCAAGCCCACCATCATCAAAATGTATTCAATTAACTTGTTGATAGTTACCTTGTGTTACCAATTGTGGCTGAAGAATGTTAATTTGGCTGATGCAGCCTCATCTTCATCTTCATTAAATCAACAGAATTCAATCAATGGTGTTCCCGAGGTGGTTTTAAGCCATTTCCAACCGATGGTTGCTATGCTTTGTGGTCGTGGTAAATTTCACAATCAATATTTGGATGAAAACAAACGATGGATTTCTGACCCTGATCCCAAAGCGGTTTGTACAAAAGACAAATTGGAAATTTTGGAATATTGTCGCAAGGTTTACCCCAAAAAGGATATTCGGAATATTGTTGAATATAGCAAATACATGGTTGTTGAGAATTGGTGTAAAGTTGGACAAAAGTGGTGGTCGTCATTTCATCAAACCTTACTGATGTTTAGAAGGCCCATTTCAAAGTGATGCTCTTCTTGTACCTGCTTATTGTCTCTTTGATCATATTCACAATGGATCGATCTGTCAAAGCTCAGAATATTGGAATCGTACAGCTGCTTCAAGTTGCGCTGAGAAACGTAACATGAAACTCAAATCATTTGGAATGTTACTCCCTTGTGGAGTTGGAATATTTGGTGGTGTCGAATTTGTTTGCTGTCCAGCTTGGTCAACAACTACATCTCCACCAGAACTTGTGACTCTTGGAACCGAAAAGAAACAATTGGGTAAGCGTTTCATCTCATTCATTTTCTCTTCTCTTTTTCATCTCTTTGCTTTCAGTTGAATAACAATTAATGAATCAATTGTATAATATTAGTAAAGAGCAAAGGAAAAGCTTAATAATTATGAAAATGAATCAACAAAGGTGCAAGTTTTATTCCTTTTCCATATTACTTTTTTTCTCATCTCCAATTACTCTTTTTTTGAGCTATTGGAAATGTCTATTGGGAAAACGCATACTCACATTCTCGTTTAACCCCATTTTTAGTATTTAGTATTGGTAATATAACCAATGGTTCCTCTGTACACTTTTCCTTTCTCTCTCTCTCTCTCTTTTCTGGACTCTCTTGAGATTTGATGAAGCAAATTACTAGATTGTTACACGATAATCAGCTATTTTAATGAACTGTATCAAAAAACATTAACAAAGTCTTGTTTCCAAGTTTATCGTCAGTATTTATGTTTTAGCTTTTGGGTTAGGTTATTTATTCTTATATTAATAGTTTATCGTGTAAAAAATATAATCTTTGACTCGATCACACGATTCATCTTTGTCTTTCTGATTAGTCTCTAATGAGTTGGTGTCTATTCTCAACATCATCTCCCTCATCGTTGTCTTTAGTTTTCACCATGACCTCTCTCTCTCTCTCTCTCTCTCTCTCTCTCTTCATTCATCTCCTTTTTTATGAAAAATGAACAATGATTCATACTATGTGTTACAAAGTCTATGATTTATTGAATGGAAATCATGCTCATGGAACCTTTTCCACCCCATATCATCCGTATTTTTATATAAAGATGATGGAATAAAATTTTTATGATGAGCCTTTGAAATTCGAGGTGTGCGTGTCTCCCTTTACACCATGAGAATTTTAAAAATATGTTAATATATGTTCTAGAGTAAATTATTACAATAGAAACTCATCATCTTCCTTTTTTAGCTTTCGACTGTCAGTAGATTCGGTCTTTAGCTGATTAGCTTGAAACACCAATGAAAATGATCAAAAAGCTAATCTGATAATTAAGTATTTTGGTTAACTATCAAAGTTAACAATTACCTCTGAACCTGAAACCCTCGAAAAGATGATAAATAAGATAGCAAATGGAATAAGATTTGTTCACGTTTCCCTGAGTCTTTTTAAAATTTCCATTGTCAAATCTCATCAGTGAATCTTGATTAAAATTAAAATGGTTAACTTGATTCTCTCTCTCTCTTATTCTTTTCTTTAAATGTTTAATTATCAGACTCATTTTATTCAACTCTCTTCATTATCATCATCATTTCCATCATCATCTTCATTAAGAGAGATGTTTAATTATTTTTCTTATTTATAATCTTTTCTATTCAAAACTTTGCCACCTTTCAGCTCGTTATTAAATCTCTAACAAGTGAGCCTATTTAATCGAGAGAAGAAAAAAACTCAATGAACTTTCTCTTATGAGATAAATCGTAGTGAAGAATAAGAGACAAGTGGAATATCTTTTCTATAACTTTTTGTATTCTGTCAAACGCATTTTTCTTCATTCTTTTTTCCTCTCTCTCTCCTAATATTTCATAGAAATTTTCCTTTTTCTCATGGTGAATTCTGTTGCTCCCATGATATTATTATCTTTGCTGTTCTCATTGAAATACGATACGCATTATTTAGCACACATAAATAGTGGTAACAACTGATAGTCCAATTTTTGGCCTTTGCACGTATTCAAACGGTACACACCCTTCATCTATAATTAAATAAGCAAATATTAACTAGATTAATATGAAATTTGAGTAATAAAATTCAATTGAATTTTGAAGTGATTGAAAATCGAAATATTTTTCGATTTGTTAATTTTCAACGAATTGAAGTTCATTCAATTATTATTAATATTTTTCTTTCTCTTAAGAAAAAATTCGAATGCAAATGATTGTCTTCGTTGATTATAATAATTGATTTATTAAATAATTCAAAGGAAAAAAGTGAAAAAAAGTTAAAAGAAATCAAAAATATGAAGTCACCTGACTTCATTTTGCTTCAAAATGGATTCATGGTGAAAGAGATTAAGATGATTATATTACCTTTCTCATTATTATTGCAACTGCGTATTGATAACTATTAATACAATTTAAACGTTACTCATATTACTTGTATGTATTAAATATCATTCACTTGACGATATAATTGCATGACTATTGTCTCTGTGTATATTCATAATATAAGTTGATAGTACACAAGACTAATTGCAAAAAGTGAAAACAAGATGATGATGAGGGAAGAAAAAATGATGAAAATAATAGTAAAAAAAGTAGAAATGATGCTTATTATAGTGATCATAATTGTAAGATTATTTGTTCATTTTCATCATGAATATTATACATGAACGTGTATTTCAGTGATTCTGTTTCACTTATAATCAAATGATAATGAAAACAGAGCAAAAGATCATCTCCATTGATCAATTTCTCTTAATCATTTCTTGATTCATTCACCTAACCTCTAATATCTCAATGACCTTATTCAATTGTGACTATATTTTTACTTGACCTACACTTAGCTTCATCTATTTCTCCCCTGATCTTGATCCAAAAAGTAACAAATATTTTCTGATACCTATTAGTAGGAGTTTAATTAGTGAAACAATTTGTTGATTGTTTTCATCTCCTTGTGAAAAAAAGAAAAGTAAAAAATCGTATTTCTTATTCATTATATTTGTATACACATACAGTTTTACTTGCTAATTTTGTGTCACCAGTATCATAACTAAAATGACATATAATCTTGTTCACAGTATGAAATCTATCTAATATAATCACAATCTGATTCCATGTAGATTTAATAGCGTAATCAACTATTTTGAACACTAATAAGCCAGTGCGGCTTTAGTATTGATATTATACATGTATTTGCTTTAATTTATTAACTTCACAGTTTGTCCAGTAAATTAACTTAATTCACAACAGATTAGTCTAATTTTACTGAGAACATGAAGTTTAGCCTCACGTAAAAAGAGTTTATTTTGTAACCAGTTTCAATCATTAAGCTTCATCTAATTCGTTACATTCATATTTAATCTTTGTCATTTGTTGAATTTATTTCGCGATCATTTAATGATATTGTAAATCTCTCGTTAATCCACTTTAATTCAGATCTGTACACTAATTCTTTACTCTACTATTTTAATTAGTCCGAATTCTCAACGTTTATATCTTCACTTTCGTAGCGTAAGAAAATTGATAAAGTTACTGATAACTTTAACATTTCATTTCTATTCATTTTATTAATATATTCATCGATTTCACCTGAGTTTCCGATAGCAAATTCTCTCAACTGTTCGGCTGATCTACTTGTTGTTTTTTTTCTAAATTCTTGTTTTTCTGATTGTTGTAAACTCCATATCGTGTGATTTATGTTACATTTACTGTTACCTTTTTAAATATTTCAGATTTACTTTCACTGAAATGACAACAGATATAAATCATCATTACGATGACAATGGTATGAGCTTTTCTTCCCAAGTTCTTAAATATGAACATTCCAGTTATTTCCTGTAATGGAAGTGAAAACTTATAGATATTACCTTGAATAACTGTTGCATTCATCTTGTACACTAATATATTAACACCATTATAATGTTTCCTACGAATTTGAATTTCTCGGTGAGTTACGCGTATGGTGATTACATGTATGGTGGTAAAGATAACATTGATTCATTTTCATCTTGACTATATTAACAAATTCTGGATAGTTTTTTTCTCTCTCAGCTCTTATTGGTGATACATCATAACTGATACATTATTTAAAATTATATTTGTCTTATTTGTGATTGATTGTGAAAGTATTTCAGAAAAAGTTTGAATAAAACAAGAATGAATAAGCATTCGTAGTATTTAATTGGAAACCGTAATGATAAAAAGTTATAAAATATTTGCAAATGATAAAAGAAACTTTTGTAACTTTATTTCATTAAAAAGTAGAATACAAAAGCTAATCATTTTGATGAAAGGAGTAATCATTTGGAGAAAGATGAACAAAGATGAATAAAGATAAAGATAAACAGATGATTTCCATGGAAATAGAAGAAAAGTTAAAAAATATAGTCAGGCAACGCCTTTTGTTGATTGACTAGCATTCAATGAATGATGAAGATGCGAGATGATGAAAGGAAATGGAAGATTTTGTTAAGAATGAAAGGTGAACAATATGAGGGTATTGAACACACTGAGTTGTAGGAGGAGGTTTAAGATGCTGCAGCTAAATATGATTACAATTAAAATTAAATTGAGATAATTCTGGTAATTGGGGCTGATGATATAACATCTTGACGATCCTTTTCTCTGTTAGGTTTAAGATTCATCTATCGATTTGATGCTTATCCTTTTACTCATATTAAACCCTTTTCACTTTCATTCTCTTCAGATTCACCAGTTAATCGATCTTCAGAATATCCTCTTTCTCTCTCTATTTTTGGCCAGACTTTGTCTTTAACAGAATCTTCGTTGATTTCACTTGTTGATTCTGTTGAAACATCAGATTTTGTTGATTGTTTTATCGGTGTTGTAGCCTTGGGCTCTTCGTTTTCTGGCCACTTTCTGGTTCCTTCTTTTTACCTTATTACCTTTATCATCTTCTTTGTGCTTCTCATCATCTGGTGCTTTTTTCTGTCCATCATCTTTCCTTTGTTCCTTTTGTTCCTCTTTATCTCATCTACCTTTTACTCTGGTTTATCTTCTCGCTCTCGACTATTTGCTGTTGTTGATTTTTCTTATTGTGGCTCTCGTCATCATCAAAGATGATGATGGTTAGATTAGGCGATTTTGGAATGTGATTTGGTGTTTGTATTCCGTTGCTCGGTTTTAGATGTTGATTCTTTTTGTCTTAGTTGTAGTAGACTCAGCTTCGGCTTCTTGTCGATCTGATGTATATGGAATCAAATTGGGAGAACTTTACCCAGTTAAAGTTGGTTTAATTGATTTTGTTGTCGTCTCATTCGATTCTTGAGGACTTTGACTTGCTCGTGTTATGAA